ATGCTTGATGAGTCCCGGGAAGCAGCAGGTTGACCTTTATTACACTGGTAGGTCGGTTTTGTTTCCACAGACTTCCCTTTGGGATATCTTCTGGCGCTTGAGATCTTCCAAAGGAAGATGAGTTCCCCCTCATGAGTGACCATGTGAGCACTTTAGTAGTCCTGGACAACATCCTAGTGTATGGGTCCACTCAAGAAGAGCATGATCTGGAATGAAGCTGAAACAAAGGTACATGTCACTTTGGGAATGGAACTGTGCTACTTTAGTTAAATTATTAGTGGAGATGGCGTTAGACCAGATGCCAGTAAAATTCTCACTATTGAGAAAATGAAAAGCCCTTCTGACATAACTGAACTGAGACAAATACTGGGCCTTGTGAATTATTTCTATGAGTATTATCCTCAGTGATAGATCCTATTACAGAATTGCTAAAGGAGGAGTATGCCTTTTGTGACAAGACCACTGTGCATTGGAGGAGCCTGGTTGCCCGCCTTCTGCCATTAGGCTATGGCCCCATGTTGAAACGCTTGATTTTCCCCTGCAAAGACACGAAAGCCGGGTCATTTGGTACTTGCCCTATTTGAACAGTGATACCCTAGATAGCTATGCCATGGAGCCCATTCGTATAACGAAAGACTAGGTGAAAGTCTTTGGCTCCATGGCAATTGAACTGTATGTATGTGATCTGAGCGCCATTCAGTAATAATGTGCGCTCAGATCTAAGCTATCTGGGGATTTGTTGAATGTACCAGTTTTATGCAATAGCTGCACAGTTATATATTTTTATGTATTTTATTGTCTTTTGCTACCATGTGTTCAATGGAGTTTTGCCTCTGTCCTTGGAGATAATTGGATTACTTCCCAATTATCTCCAGGATAGAAGACTCTGTTGAACTGGTTTTGGGCAGAAATGCCATGCTTCATTTGGTCACAAAGGACTTCGATCTATCTTTTGAACCACTGGACCAATTTGGATGATTTTGACATGTTTGTATTTGGAGTATGCCGATTCTGAAAATGTAAGTGTGAATGTGATGTATACTTTTAAAGTTATGAATAATGTGGAAAAACTGTATTTCTCTGCCTGTGATAATTACATTAACTCATTGTGTAAGTTAATTGTATCACAGGCATAGGGGAGGATTTTGTGTGGGAGTGTCTGAGTGTATTGTACATGTTTATTGGTTGTTTTACAAAACCCTGTGGGTGTTACTAATGTGTAAGAATGTGAATATAAGAACAATATACCCACAGTTTTATCAGATCACTGCTTGATCCATAACACAGAGCTTTGTCTCGTTCTTGGGGGGATTTATTGTATGCTGTTCCAGTTCGACTGCTAGGAGTGTAAACCTTTCGTATGGTTTTTCCTATTTGGCTGTTTACAGCATTCATATGGTTTCCTGTTCGGGTGATTGATGTCTTCAGTAGCTGCCTGTATATCTGGAAGGGAATATCTCCTAAATGGCTGTTAACCCCTTTTATGCCTGGGGATGCCGTTACACATTTGCGCTCTCGAACTTGGGTCTGCCCCTGTGCTGGGGTTTTATGACTTCTAAAAAGACGGTGGTTAACAAAAATGCTAGCAGTTATGGCCTAGGAGCAGCCCTGTTGCAACTTAATGAAGGGAAACTTGTGCCCATTGCCTACTGCTCTTGTACACTGACAACATTTGAAACAAGATATGTCCAGATTAAAAAGGAGTGTCTGGCTGGAGTTTGGGCCTGTTATGAGACTACAAGTAGTCCTCACTTTGCAAACTACCTGTTTTACAACTGCTCTGACTTATGAACATCTCTCTTGAATTGGGATTCAAGGGATTCCCCATATTAGAGAGTTAGTCTATGTTGGGAATAATACACTTTGCCTATACTGACCCACGGCTCAAGCTACAGATGACAGGATGTTCAGTCTGTTTAAAATTGGCTAACTTGGAGCATGTCCGCTATTTGAAATAATATACTTTATTCATATACAATACTTAGTGAATATATCACTAGACAAGAGCTATAGAACATCGCGTAACAAGTGTTATATCCTCTGTGTTTCTGCTCTTAACCTTACTTCCAGTGTTTCTCCCTTTGATCATAACTGCTTAGTAATGTGTAATTTAGAACTGCATAGTAAATATCTTTAATTCTAAGTGAAACTTAGCTTTGAGCAAGGCCCGAACATGAAGATACACCTGCAAGCTTGCTATAGGTTAAGATAAGATAGATTATTTTATTAGGATTGGATAATGTTTGTAAATACCACCCGTGTCCTGCTGTATATAACCTGTTACACAGCCCATTAAACGTCAGAAGTCACCTCGAACCTTACATTGTCTTGTCTCGTTCATTGGGAGGAGAAATACAGAGAGTTGCAAATTAATACAAATGACCCTGGCAAGGGGAAATTCAGTCTATGTTCGGGGAACATAGATTTCAGAGATTCCCTGCGCTAATGAACTAATCTATGTTCAGGGGATGTGATCACATTTAGAAGTTATTCATCTTTTAGGTGCAGTCTAGCTTTTGTTTGTTTGAGCTCTATATTTTCACAAGGTTGGGAAATCTTTGTAAAGTTTGCTGCTTCTTCATAGTATTTACTGAGCACCTAATTTTTGTATTTGTTTTAGATAGATGTAGATCTCTACCGCCCTATCCCAGTGAACATGTCCGTATATTATATATAAGGGATAAAAAAATTCTACTGTGTCCTAGCTTAAAAAGAAGGCATGCTCTCTTGTGTTCAAGGTTGCTAGGCTTGAAGATGACACCTACATACATCTCCCTGTCTCTTTTTCTTGTAACCGCTGCATATAGTAGGGATGCACTGAATTTTTTGGCTGAAAATTACCACCCCCAGTGTGTCATTATATATGTGTATAATATAACAGGAGGGTAGGTGTCCAGGTCGGTCGGTAGGTTCCCGTTTTATTGGCTTGTAGTTTTTCATATTACATTCATTAAAAAGTCTAATATTAATACAATTATAGAAAAAACTATTTTAAAATCATTTAAAAAAAAAAAAAAAAGTAATTTTCTGTTTCAGTTTTCAGCCAAGGGCTTCCTGAATTTTTGGTTTCGGACAAGAATTTTCATTTCGGTGCATGCCTAACATAAAGGATGTTGGATCATTGCTAACCAGGATTATAATAAGTTCACAGTGTGTGTATTCAGAAGAGAAATGCAATAATAAGATAAAGCTAGGAGAAGACGCACAGGAGAATGCATTAATAAAACACAACTATGATGACAATATCAACATCTAATCATGATATTCTGTTTTTGTAACCAGATGTTAGAACGTTACAGATTACTTTCAAAAGTTTTTTTTTTTAGTAAAATTAGTTTTGCTAATCTGCAACACACAGCTCACCAGTAAAAAATATAATGAAAAGTCTGTACCCCCATGGAAAATTACCAGTGGGCCAAGCTGGAAACCTGCTATGAAGCAAGGCCGCCTTAGTCACGAACGATCACGATCTGAGATCAACTGTTAGACCACCCCAATTTTAAAGTATTCAATAAAGTGATTTCTCTCCCCCACGCATTGGCAAAAGTGACACTTATGTAAAGTTATTTGACTAAAACACGGTTTACTTACTGTGGCGAAACCGACCTCGCCACTGGGCATTGGAGACCGATTGCCAGCCTCCTGCCATGTGACTATGGCCCCTGGGATGTATTGCCCTTTAAAGACATGATTTGGGCATAATGGATTTGTGTTGTGCTGCTGGCCCTTTAAAACCATCTGGGGACATACTGTGGAGTTACTGGGTGGCCACCATTTCCTGTATCAGAGGCACATGGTGAGAACAATGGATGAAGCACATGGTGAGAACAATGGATGGCGGCCATTTTAACTCACAGACACTGTTTGGACTTTTCAACACGGTGCCATCTCGCCAGTATTTGGTGCACAGACATCGTGCAGTGGTTTTGGACTATACAGCAGGGGACACATTATACATTGATTGTTTTTCATTTAGCCTGTATATGTTCTGCAGAATCTGCATTAAACTGTATATTCCAAAGTAGTGAATGGATCTGAGTGAATTTTGGATATGTGGTTCACCCAGATCCCCCGGTTCCAAGGATATACTTTCTATGGGGTTATTGCATGTTTTGGGGTCCCTGTGATGTGTTTTATGAAACTGTATTTCTCTGTCTGTGATAATTAGATTACCCATTGTGTAAGGTAATTGTATCACAGGCAGAGGGGAGGATTTTGTGTGGGAGTGTCTTTCTGTAATGTACGTGTGTTATTGGTTGTTTTGTAAAACCCTGTGGGCAGTACTAAGTTTGTGGATTGGGAATAAAAGAGGCTGTATGTGCCAGTCCAGTCAGTTCCTGCTTAACCCTCAAAGTGAAGTGTCGTCTCATTATTGGGGGAGGATTTATTGTATGCTGTTCCAGTTTGACTGCTAGGAGTGTAAACCTATTCGCATGGTTTTTCCTATTCTGCTGTATACAACATTCAATGCTTGAGAGAATTCATATGCTCCTACGGTTCGGTGGTTTTTGGTGTGTGTCTGCAGTGCTTGGAGTCCTCAGGACGTGCTAGGAGCATCCTTCAACAGAGGTACCCAGTCGGGGTGCCAGGTGATCCGTTACACTTACTTTATCTTACTTTGCTATAAAATGGTTACATCAAAAGTATTTTTGTATTACAACGATTTTGTGCAAGCTGGAAATAACTTTATGTCCCTACCCCCTCAATGCCAACACTGTGATTACCAGGTTGGAACTGTGCACCGCATGTGGGTGCTATGTCATTTTGCTGTATTCCCTAACCCAGGGCTTCCCAACAGGTAGATCCCCAGATGTTGTCATTCTAAATGCATGCAAAGCATCATGGGAGTTGTAGTTCCACAACATCTGGGGATCTACCTGTTGGGCAGCCCTGACCTACCCTTATACAGCTTTGTATTAAATTAAAGTTGTCCCAAACAAAAATTGCAGGGAATGTATTAATGTGTCCAGCACAAAACATTAAATCACAAAACACTCATATTCTTAATCAACTTAAAACTTTATTACAAAACAAAATAAAGCAGAACTCTTTTGTAAAAATATCCCACAACACCTGGAGCGGGTTTATTAAACTATTAATCTTTCAAAGCTTTATTTAAAATTGGAGGCACTAATGGCCAAGGGACATACTGTCCACGAAGGCACAGCACCTACCTATTCGTCCAGTTGATAATTGTAGCCCTTTTATTATTGTAGTTATTACAGGTAGCAGCTGAGAAGGTCAAGCATCATCTCAAAGGGGACTGGTACATCAAGGATTTGTATGTGGCTTAAGATCTGCTCTATTGGTTACAAAACAATACATGCTGTACCTTTGTAATCTATGAAATAAACTCCACTTTATGTAGATCTGCATAGGTGTAGACTTTACTTTAATCTAATGGTTCATAAAAAGCAATGCCAATAAAGTAAAATTACTAAAAACAAATAAGAAAATGTTTGTGCACGTCTTCATCCATGCCACCATAACAGAGACATTGCACCAGCAACAATGTGGTTTATAAATAAATGGCTGCACATTTAGTCCACTATAAGAAAGAAAAATAAATTGGCCTCTTCTGCTTTAGAATCTAATTTCTTACATTCCTGAAGAAGGCCATGTTATCCACTCACAGATGACAGGTCCCATTTGATAGTAAACAATTGCATCTGACTGGCCATTTGCTGTAGTGCCCTCTCATGCTTCGCTTATGGTTAAAAGTCTGAACATGGCACTGGGACTCAATTGGTTACTAAAAGATTTACTTGCTGCATTGGATCATAAAGCACAGGTTAGGAATATAAAAGAAAGGCAGCAGCTTTAGGTTCTGGCTGGGAATCGGAAACAAAACTAGTATCAGAAACACTGATTTCAGTAAAATATTGCTAGTGTGTGCAGCAGATGTAATTTACCTTCTCATAGCAGTGTCGTCTATCAGTTTGTTTTGTGTGTGCTTTATGAATCACTGGCTCAGAATCTGAATCACTTATGTAAAATCAGGGATATCCTAATATGCACAATTTGAAATTCATTTGCAGGCCTCCAACAAAAGTTATTTCTTTTTTAATAATGCTTTCCTTAAATGTACTTTCAAGCGGATGTCTGAAAAACATAATTACTTGTACCTAAAAGTACGGTACTTGATAAAAAAACAAAAACACCAGTTACTTTAGCTTCCTGGTAATTGATCAATAAACAGTGCAAATGCAAAGTAATCTATCATAAAAGAATTATGTCTCTTGCCAATGAGGCCCTTTGTTTATATAGGATTATGATGATGACTTAAGACATTCCTATTTCTCGGTGTTAACAAAATGCTAGGTGGTGTTATTTATTCAGAAAATAGTGAATACATTTCCCTCGTAAAAATGATTTGGCCTGAGTTTCTAATGATCGTAATAGTAAAGAAATAAGATGAGCATTACCGGTCTCTTTATATATTGAACTGTAAATTAGGTTTTGTAACTAATATACCAAAGCAAATATTTTCACCAATGTAATGGCTAAGGCAATAGTGTAAGGCACTACCGAATAAAAATTACAAAACATATATATATGCAACTCCAATCTCTCAGTAGCTAGTAATTTAGTCAAAATAATATTCTTACACCAAAACTGAATAAATGATACTCGTAGATCACATCTGAAAATAGTTTGTCTAAAAAGCACAAGTGAATGTAGTACAGTTCCTCATAAAATGGGTCGGGCAAAGGGGCCCATTTTTGATATGATAAGACTATTCATATATGTCAGGGATGCTTCTGAGTTTTTTGTTTTTTCCCCTTATGGAATTCACTGGCATTAAGAAACCACTTCATAACATACAAAACCCAGAGAGCAGAATATTCTGAAAAGAAAAAGTAAGACTATCTCCCCCTTGTGGTGTGATGGATGAATGCAGCTGCCTGTCCTATTTCTCATGCAGCACTCTTCCAGATATAAATGTGTAGCGCAGCATAATGGTTTGTATGAGGCTGTAAATATTACTTTATGCCCCAGGAATGGAAAAATCAGGATCGGAAGACATGTACAGCCCGCACCACATACTGGCGGCATATGGGGCATTCACTCATTCGTTTGCCACACTTTGTACAGGTCACCATGTGGCCACATTCCAGCAGAACACAGTCGATGGGGGAGTCCATGCACACCTTGCATATGTGATCATCAAGTGCTGCACCAGGATTGCCTTTAGGAAGAATTGAAATAGACATACAAATAATTAAAAAAATAAAATACATAAAAAGGACATTTTAGTACATGGCTTTCTAATGGATGAATGCCTTCAAAAACAGTTTTTTTCTTGATCTGGTAGCACATCAAGGTATGCAGAACACAATTATTTAAAGGGACACTATAGTGACTATAGTACCCTGAGGGTGCCCCCACCCTCAGCACTGAAGAGGTTAAAACCCCTTCAGCTACTCACCCTTTTCCTCCGCCGGGCTCCCTTACCTCTCTTCCCCCGCCGACGTCGGCATCCTTGTCCGACGTCACCGGCGCCGAAGTGGTCTGGGTGACTATAGTGTCCCTTTAATGTCTAATATACCTAGCAGAGGCATTTTAGAATTCCCAGTAACAGAAAATTACTGAGGTTTTGAACTATCGGTGATACATTTGAAAAAATAATATTTGAAGGAACTCCGTGTTAAAAGGGACACTCCAGGCACCCAGACCACTTCTGCCCATTGGAGTTGTCTGGGTGCAAACTCCCAATACTCTTAATCCTGCAACTGTAATTATTGCAGTTTTTTTTTTTATAAACTGCAATAATTACCTTGCAGGGTTAACTCCACCTCTAGCAATCTGTGCTAGAGCGTCGCTGGACGTCCTCACGCTGTGTGAGGAACTCCAGCGTCACTTATTTCCCCATAGGAAAGCATGCGCATTAGGTCTCCCCGGCCGGTGGGCGGGATCAGTCTCGCCCGCCGGCCGACGCTATCAGAGGGAGGAGCGGTGCGGAGTAAGAAGCTGCAGCGTGGGACATCGTCGCTGCCTCAGGTAAGTTACTGAAGGGGTTTTCACCCCTTCAGCAACCGGGGGTGGGAGGGAGAGGGTACTTGCAGTGCCAGGAAAACAGATTGTTTTCCTGGCACTGGAGTTTCCCTTTAATTTCAACTTTTAGACCAAAATAGCTGAACTGGAAGCAAAGCAATTCAGCTATTTTGGCCCCTAAGTTTAAATTTCACTTTGAATTCCTGACAATTTTCATTTTTAATAAATAACCCTGCATTTTACTGGGTGAGAAAATAGAGTTAAAACCAAGAAAGGTTTGCTTACACAGCGTTCAGCTGTATGTTTTATAAATAAATCATTTAAAGATAATGCACAGTATGGAAAGGTACTTGGAAAATGAGGCAAAAAAGGTGTTGTGGAAACCACCACTGCTGCCAATCACCACTACAGAAGGAAGCAGCTTAGACCGTACTGGGTAATAACTTTTAAAAATTCATCAAGAAGATCTAGATGAAAAATAGCATTGTCCAATGGGATTTGTGATTTATGGAATATCCTATATCTGCTAGAGACAATCCAGATTTCATGAGGAAATAGAATAGAGTTTTAAAATATTTTTAAAGAAGTGATGGAATGGATTTTCTGCCAGAGAAAGTGCTTTTAAATAATTTAGATTCGGAAATCAATTACATAAAATTCAGCAGAAAACTTTGTGGTATAAAAAATGATTAAATCACTACCAGATAACAAAACAAAACACAAAAAAAATAATTTTAGAAAAATACAAGACCGTTACCTGCCTAACATTTTCCAGATATTTGACATGAGGACACACATTGGCAGTTTAGTTATTTTATTGATATATTTTATTGATATATATTGTACACAATATATTTTGGGCTCATTGGCAGGCTGTTCTTTCTTTCTGCACAACTATTGCTATGATTTTAAACCCAACTATTTCACAGTGCGGCCTAACATTTTCCATTTTCAGAATATAAAGTTAAAATATTTTATAGCAAGGTCTTTACATTACAATTTCCTAATCGTATTTTTCTTACTACTGGGTTCTTCATCCATCTATAAGCTGAAGAACCCATTAGTAAGATCAAGCAAGATGAAAAAAATGACAAGAAACAACATAACAGTTTTTCTTACCTCCTCCTTCAGCAACTGCAACTGAAAGATAAAATAAAAAAAAAATATATATATTAATACATAACTGCATAAATCAGCGCTTAAACATTAGAGCAGAAGTATTCGAAAAAGGAAGGTACAGAAGATGCATTTATATTCAATTACTTTGACTTATATCACTCTTTGAAGCTAGAGACTAAGAATAAGGAGATCTATAATGCAAATCACTGTCATGTCAGCCCTGCTTCTATGCAAGATGAAGAATTAATCAGATATATGAATGAAATTTTTACAAAAACAAAATTAAACCTTGAGAAAGGGGCTACATGAAAACAAAGAATTGCAATTACTGAAAACCAGCTGCAAGATATTTTACAATATTAATAAAAGTCTATATTTTATCTCACTTTCCTTATAGAGATGCACTGATTCAATGCATCTCTATGAGGAGGTGCTGATTGGCCAAGGCAGTGTTTGGCCCTGCCCTTGTCCCGTCTCCTTGACAACTTCAACCAATCCAATGCTTTCCCTATAGGATTTGGCTGAAATCATAAATTCTGATGATGTCAGCAATGAGTCAGAATGGGGTAGGGCCAGCGTGGTGCTGGAAATAAGGTACGTTTTATTACCTTTTAAGGGGATTTGTGTTCCTGACCCTATAGTGTTCCTATAATAGTAATTATTCCTCAGCACACTACTAATTTTAATTTAGTTTTATTAAGCCAGCAAAGCAAAAAAAAAAATGCAGTCATGTTTCAACACCCTTCTGTTACTTTCTCATGCCATCAAATAAGTGCATTTCTGCTACATATCTTCAAATTAAATTTGGCCTTGGTAGCCACCACATAATGCTTGGGTGCTTGCACAATATTCAGATTGTATGGTTGGCCTTGTATAATATTTTTATGCTTGTTAATGTAAAACAAGGATTTCCTGGTTGATGGAAGCAGTGGAAACTACTTTATAGAAGTAAAGAATAGGAAGTGGACAAAGTAGTCTTATCCTGGTGAATAGTGAAAGAAGGAACACATCAGACGCACTTATATGTGAATAGTTAGGAAGAGGAAACTATTCAAGTACAGTAATGTCAAGTCTACAGAATCTACAAAGTTAAAACACAGAATTTAGTAAAGCATTTAAGTTAAAACTTAAAAAACGAGTAACAAAGCGAGCTACTGGATGAATTTGATCACACACTATACATTTGAAAGACCATTTGCAACAAAAAATAAATGGGCAGATGTCTTTTCTTTCAGAGTATTAGCAAACATGATTTTGCAAACTATGATCTTGGCAATCAGACAAGGGATTGCAATGATATTAGTAAGAAAAACCATCAACACAAATAGGCTTTTTACTGTCGTACGTTTCTCACCTGCATGAAGGGGTCACTGATCTTGTCAAATGTATAATTGGTACTCATATAGCATTTTAGGGAAGTCAGTTAAACAGATCAACACATCAAAGGGGAACTGCACACATAAAAATATAACTCCACGCTCCACAAAGGGAGTGGTAGTGGTATTACGCACACTCCCACTAATCAATCATTCCAAGGAGAGATCAGGGTACATAACACGTAAGACAAATAGCTTTAACCCCTTAAGGACCAAACTTCTGGAATAAAAGGGAATCATGACATGTCACACGTCATGTGTCCTTAAGGGGTTAATGAAACGGTGTTGCAGGACAACCTTTCAAGTCTAAAAAATACTTTTTCACGTCACTTGGAATACAAAAGAGAAAATGTTGTCTTAACTTGGTTCCATTAAAGTGCTTTTTTACTGCATGCAACATACCTTCTATATCTGGCTATACATGAAAGCTAACTTGCGTACACACTTACTATACAAAAAGTGTAAATTCAAGTCAGGGTATTAGTATTATGTACATACAACCTAACTGAAAAAGCCACGTCTCCTGAAAGACTATTTCCTAAACAACCTACTCAATGAAAGCCGGTACCATGCAGAGATTAATGGGTGTCAAACACTGTGTAAACCCTATCAAAGAATATGCAAAGAATATTCTCAGTATGAAGAGCTTAAGATTGTATATTTTCTTTTAAATCAAAGTTATCTGTACAGACTGTAAAAGAATGGAGTGGAACAGCAAAGCTTAGATGGTTGAAATAGGTTATAGTAAATTAGAAAAATGTGCATCTGTACGTATATGAGAAGCTGTGTAACTGTGTGTCAGGGTGTGCATTTATATGTGTATGTCAGTGTGCATATGAATTTGTGTTTATATGTCAGTTAATGTGTATGTATGTGGCAGTTTGTGTACACATCCAAGCTGGCAAATACCAACACAATATGCAAACACACCCCTTCACTCCAACACTAATATTACATGCAAATACATCACTCAAACATCAATACTACGCACAGATGTACATCCACATTTAAAATCAAACATTATATCTAAACACCAACACTACACACAAAATCACACCTGTATTTAAAATCAATTACTACATACAAACACCCCTGGCATTCAAACGCAAACACAACACCCAAGTGCACCACTACATTCCAATGGCAGCAGTACATACAAATATACCCATACTTCATACAAAAACATGCTTACATTCAAATGCTTAAACAATGCTCACAAATACATCAAACTTTGATATACAATTTACAATGTGGCTCATGATTATACGCCTGTATGACCTCACTGGAGTGGGACCAAACAATTGTATTTTAATACATTCATAAGACAGGTAAGTCGTGCGATTGGAAAAGTAAAAAGCGTTGCATCAAATCTGGAGAATAATACAGAGATCTAAGAATCCCACCAAGATTCATGCAAATTTAATACTGATTTTCAATATGGATGGCTTATGCCACAAGCCCCTTCTATGCTGCCTACATCAGTAAACACCAGTGAATATTGTTCAATTCAGCAAATTTAAAAACAGGTCAAAACTGTTCTGAGAATTGACTGTAAGGACTAGGAATGTTCTTCCTGATTTTAATACTTCATAGAATTACTCTTCATGAACCTCGATGAAGCAGGCCTTGCATAAGAAAAGTCAAACTTCAAAATATATAATGCTATAAGGAAGTGCTTGCTTTTGAACAACACCTACAAAGTCATTATACTACAAAACCAGAGCGGATTCAGAGATACGTAATAAAGAAATCCTGTTTACTGAAATGCAGATGTACTCCTAGGACTTACACACAAGTGCACAGCGTATATGCACACTACAATTATACTATGTTATCATGCACTGCTGCTCATATGCTATAATTATACTATCTTTGCTACACATGGTTTGCGAATTAAAGGCAAAAAATGTAAGACTGTTAAGGTTCACTGATTCTAACAGTGTAGCTGATAAATGTCACCTTTTTCCTGAAGACCCTTCTGTTCAGTGTAGAGCCGCGTAACACGTTCCATCAGCTCCCACTTTTCACAGCAACCCTTGTAATTGACAAAGTTCCTGGCCAGGATCTCCTTCAGCTGACGCACAGTTAGGTCTTCAATTTCCTCTACGCTGTGGATATCGGAGAGTGAGGCCCTCCGCCCGGGCACTAGTACCTCTTCGGAGTCTAAGGACTGCAAATAAGAAGTACACCATAAATCATTCCAGCCCCTTTGCGAACAATAGAAAGGGAACAGAATACCCTTTGAAAAAGTCCTCATATACAGCAGATAATTAGCAACAACATATTATTTGTTGATTTACGAGAAACTAATATCTGAAGTTAAAACCTAGATCAAAGGTAGGCAACCTTTTAGTAGTATGTGCCAAAATAAGATTTTGGATTCACTTGCGTGACAATCCTATTTTTTAAATTGTGTTATTTATGAATGTAGCAGTTGCTTTGTAGCCTTGAATTTGTGCGTGTGTGGCCTGTTAAATTGTACAGTATACATTCATCAATAGTTTATGGTACTGTGTATGATACCTATGAATGTGGGCATTGTATGGGGACTCCTGGTGTAATTGTGTGTGCGGATAATATGTCACATTGTCTGTTTTGTGTATGTGTGGGGCAGCTTGGGGTATTGCATGTGAGAGGCGTCTTGTCAAGTTGTCTGCGTGTATGTGGATTGTCAGCGGTGTTGTGGTTGTAAGAACTGTGTGTGTTTGTGCTATTTTATGATGGGGAGGCTTCCTCTGCAGGTCTGTGTATATCTAGCAGTGTGGATGGCTTTCCTGGAGTCCAGTAGGAACTGGCCTGACCAGGTACAGGTAAAGGGCAGGAGCATAGCTGTTGCGGGTTGCTCTATTCCAGCAAGGATTCTTGTGATCTGAGATAACTTTCTCTAAGTGCTGCAATGGGTAAATTGAGGATGGTCCCTCACACTTGCAATCACCACTCAGTTTGCACTAGCAAATATCAAAAGTACCATTGGGGATCCTGATAGGTCAAAGCCTGTTTGTCTCTGGCAGCCTGGAGTGCCGCGCAAAGGTACCTCTAGTGCCATGCACAGCACATGTGCCACAGGTTGCTGACCCCTGATCTAGATATTTCAGCATGGAGAAACAAGGATGAGATACCATGCATAATCTTAAATATTCCTACCTTTGAAAAATGTGTGAGCAGACACTGAAAGGGTAATGTAGGTCACTTTCTATGGCCCTTTGGAATCTTGGACAGATTTGGTTCAATTAAATAGTGACAAGAAGCAGCACATTTACCACTTCTACAAACACACACATATATATGTACAGAAATAAGTGCATTGGTTCCCTCAAAGGTCTAGGATCCATGAGACATCAATTTGTAGAGCCATCATTTTAAATGGCTGGTGGCAACACAGAAGAAGCATTCTGGACAGAAGCACAGCTGCAGATTTTTGCTTTGTTAATTAAATGTTAAGGTTATCTTTAGGAGTAACATCTACTATAAGTAGAATCTGGGCTACTGGCCATGGACATTATTATTATCGCCATTTATATAGCGCCAACAGATTCCATAGCGCCTTACAATATTATGAGAGGGGGGATGTAACTATAAATAGTACAATTACAAGAAAACTTACAGGAACAATAGGTTGAAGAGGATCCTGCTCAAATGAGCTTACAGAAAACTTACAGGAACAATAGGTTGAAGAGGATCCTGCTCAAATGAGCTTACAGTCTATAGGAGGTGGGTTATAAAACACATTAGGACAGAAAATATCAATCAAATAGGGTGGGAGTGAAGCAGAGCTGGAGGAGAGAGTAAAGCACTGCCCTATAGGAGAGAGCAAGAGACAGGTATGTAAGGTAGAGGTTACTCTAGGCCATAAGCTTTCCTAAAGAGATGGGTTTTAAGGCCCTTCTTAAACGATTGAAGACTAGGGGAGAGTCTGATGGGGGTAGGCAGGCTATTCCATAGGAAAGGAGCCGCCCGCGAGAAGTCCTTCAAGCGCGAGTTAGCCGTACGGGTGCGAGCAGCAGTCAGGATGTTGGTCACGGGCAGAGCGGAGGGAACGAGGAGGGGCATACCTATGGATCTGTGAAGAGATATAAGACAAGCTAGAATTGTTCAGTGCATTAAATGTATGGGTTAGCACTTTGAATTGACTCTTACAGGATACATAGAGCCAATGTAAGGACTGGCAGAGGGGAGAGGTGTGAGAGGACCGACTAGAGAGGAAAATCAGTCTGGCGGCGGCATTCATTACAGACTGTAGCGGGGCAATATGGATTTTGGGGAGACCAATCAGGAGAAGGTTACAGTAATCCATGCGGGAAATTATTAGAGCATGGACAAGCTCCTTGGTAGCATCTTGTGTAAGAAAGGGGCGGATGCAGGCTATGTTTTTAAGTTGGAACCTACAGGATTTGGCAACAAACTGGATGTGAGGCTCAAAGATGGGGCCAGAGTCAAGTATGATGCCAAGACAGCGCACTTGCAAGGATGGACTTATGTGGATATCACTGACTTGAAGGGAGGGCAAGAGAGGAGGATCAGTATTAGGAGGAGGAAAGACAAGGAGTTCAGTTTTAGAGAGATTGAGTTTCAGAAAGCGTGAGGACATCCAGTCAGAGATGAAAGAAAGGCAAGCAGTGACGCGTTGCAGGACAGCAGGGGTATATCGGAGTGTCATCAGCGTACAGGTGGCAGTGGAATCCAAAAGAGGCAATAAGTTTGCCAAGAGAAAATAGGAGGGGACCAAGGACAGAGTCTTGGGGAACTCCAACTGAGACAGGACAAGGGGAGGAGGAATCCTTGGAAAAGGAGACACTAAATGAGCGTTGGGAGAGAGAAAAACCATAAGAGGACAGAGTCAGAGAGACCGAGTGATTGAAGAGTTTGAAGGAGGAGAGCATGATCAACGGTGTCAAAGGCAGCAGAGAGGTCAACGAGAATTAATATGGAGTAGTGACCTTTCATACTTGTAATCCATGTCCACTGGAGTTACAGTTGTATTCAATATCTTATATTAAAATCGATATGGACAGGTTTCTCAAACCAATTCAACCAATAGGAGGTGTATGAGCAGGAAATATGGCTTGAATTGCCAAGACTGAAACAAAGTTCAGATACTGCAACAAACCGTGCTATGGGAAAATTAGCAACTAAATAAACACAACTAATAAAAATTCCAAGATTATAATATCGCCATTTATCAAAATATAATCTACAACATTGCTCCTGGTATGGGCTTTGTAAAGGAGATTTTCTGTATTCATAACATGGTTTGGTCCAATTTCATGGTGTCCTATACCCTTATAATAGACGTTGACAGCTGCTGACAATGGATGACATACTGAACTGCTGGTTTAACTACTAGTTTTCAGCATCGCATATCAAAAAGGAAGGCACTTCAGTCTAGCAGAAATTTTTAAATGAAATGCAGGTGCTTGGTATATACTTCAACCTGTGGCAATATTTTATCAATTCTAAAGCCATTCTATAGAATAATAAACTCCCTGTATTTAGTTTTAGATATTGATGTGTGCAAGACCAAATTAAGAGCCCATTGGGCCTGGTGCTGACAATTATGATGGGCCTAATTACAGAATCTAATTGACAAAAAACAATAAAATAGTTTTAACTTCCAAGCGTCATGTTTCTGGCAGAGGTAATGCAGGGGGGAAACTCATCGGATGTAGCTATAAGAAAACACATACTTAATCCTAATATCTCGCTTTCATCTTTCCAGTAAATTCAAACCCCCCCAATACCAGTGTCCGGTGAAGCAGGATGACTGTGAGCAGGGTGAAAAGTTGGGCCACTGAAACGAATCACGTAACCAGAACCGCCAAAAAGGGGGCGTCTGCATGGAAGGCCAACTAAGGGCAGACAGCACACTGAGCTTAGCATAAATGCATTTAATGATGCATTTGATCCACACTTTCTAAGGACAGTCCTCTAACACTCACTTGACCACTCCTCACCTTCTTACTAGCAAGCAGAAGCTCTTGTTATACAGTCTGGGACAGAGAAAAGGTGGATTTAGTGAATGTAGAAGAAAGGAAACATGCCACAGTGTTAGAGAGACTGAAGTAGCAAGAGCATTTGCATAGTGCACAAAGTCAGTTTTACATTAAAGGAGCACTATAGTGCCATGAAAACAAATTCCTTTTTCCTGATTTTCACAGTGAGAATCGCGGAAGCGCCTCTAGCGACTGTCAGTGAGACAGCCACTAGAGGCTGGATTAACCCTCAGTGAAACATAGTAGTTTCTCCGAAACTGCTATGTTTTCAGCTGCAGGGTTAAAACTAGAGGGACCTGGCACCCAGACCATTTCATTGAGCCGAAGTGGTCTGGGTGCCTATAGTGGTCCTTTAACTAATTTTATTGTCAGTCACTCCACATAGGTTTTATTCCCCTACATAACAAAATACAAAAAAGTAATATTGTGTATTCAGGCGCTTAAGATAGATAATAGTGGAGAAAATTGTGCCGCTACCATCGGTGTGCAATCCTCTCACAACTTAGCACAAATACATAAAATGTGATGGTAGACTGAGTGGTTAATGAACTGACACCAGTCAATAGGTGGAGCACTCAAAGTGAGGTAACTCACCCCCTTCTTGGGCTTTTTGAATAACCTAGAGGTGGGGATGAGATAAAAAAAGCAATCTTGTGTAATACGTTTGGGTGATAGTGGAGTGGTAATAAAAGATATGAACCCACTCACATGGTTCTGAGCCTTAGCAGGATAGGCTCAGAGCACTTAGGCAGTTCCCCTACATCCCTTTTAAGTTTCAATAGTTAGGCAAGAGCATGTGAAGAATAGTAAAGTTAAAAAACAAACAAAAAAACAACAACAGCCCCTATGTTAATCCTGCCCTGCATGTGTGTCATCTTCAAAAACGATGACAGATTACAAAATTAAAGTGATGCATTTGTGCCAGGGAACAAAGCCTCAATGACTCATGCCAAAGAAATTCTGATATATAAAGGAGGTATCGACTATTAAACAAAATTACCATACATACACACACACACGCACACAGTACCTCAGTCTCTTGTTCCGCCATCAAATCTTCTCCATCCTCTGAAGGAGTTGTACTGCTATTTGCCTACAACAAGGAAAGTGTGAGTGAAATGCATCAATAACATACAGAATAAAAAAAAACACACATATTTTTATATATATATATATATATATATATATATATATATATATACACACACACACACATACATACATACATACATATATACACACACACACACAAATCTGAATACTACTCTTATGTGCTGTATTAAAAAAAAAATCCTAAGGAATTTAGGAAAGCACATACGTATATACACACAGGCCAATTTAGAATGACTATTAAGTTAGCATGGAAAGGCTTTCAAAAAGAGAACTAATTTTGTAAAATTTTAATTGTGACATTATTTCAGTTTTTTTACTTAAACTATTTAAAATGAACACAATACAATGAATGAAGAGACCATATGCGCGATGGCTAAAATGTCTCATAGAATTTTTTACTATCTACTTAAGCTGAATTTAAGTTTTAAAGAGACACTGAGCACTAAAATCACAACAGTTTAATGAAGTGATATTAGTGCAAAGACTTCATCTCTAGGGAATCTCATTTGTTAACCCCCTCCTTTCTGTGAAAAGGCAATGTTAACAATTGTCCCCATTGACACCTCTCATGGCCATCACTCAGGCAGTCACTTGAGGTGCTTCTTATTACGCAACTGCAATCTTTCATTGACCTTCCACATCTTGCTTTCTCTGCAAGCAGACTATAAAATGCTCCCCACAGAGACACATTAGGAGAGAGCATCTGAGGAGCTGCTGAATATCACAGCAATGCGATAAACTTGCATGCAGAGTAAGCCCCTAATGCTTCTCTATGAACTAAACTCAACGATCTTGGCTGGGGCATAGTGGTGCGACCAGTGCAGCGTGGGATGATGTATAAGTAATAGGCTTTATTTCAGGCTAATGAGGTGGACCGTGAATCAAATTAGTCCGGAAAAAAACTCTAATTTCTAGAAATACACAAAATACATATTTATTGTTTCTTACATTAGTGCGCTTCTTTTTAATTCAGGTGTTTCTCCCAACAGAGGTATTTGATCCTAACTATTCAAAGCCCTTGTTAGTTTATTTCGATTTTCTATTTGATTTATTACTAAACCCGGAGAAAACAGTCTAGTTATCTATTTTCCTTGCTTAACAGGATGCAACCAACATAAAATGCCAGATAATATGAGGTCATAGAATTACATAACCATACACGGAAAATCCCTAAATCTTATTCAAGTTTAAATGCGCTTAATTTTAATGCAGTTTAGCAGCTCTAGTGTATGGATGATTATTTTTGGTTCTGACTCTTTCAGAATAAAAAGGTATTATCATGGTCTCGATGGAATAAAACAAAACAAAACCAAACAAACAGAAAATGTTAATATATGTGCTCTGTTCACAATAAGAAGGAAAGTACATATAGCATTCTAAAATCATATGTGATTTTTGCATCTTTGACATATCAGATATCACAACATTTCCAAACTTTTAAAAGATATCAATTGACACAGTCAATGCACACTCACCGTTTGTGGTTGTTGTGAGGGAGCAGGACCTTCATCATGATCAGCTCTGTTCTGATTGGATGTAAACTGTGGAATATCAGAACTTGGAATATCCGTCTGATCCACTGTTGGTCTCTGGTTTAACACCAGCTGTATCAAGTCATCCTTCTCTCGACATAGATCAGTAGAAATGCCTCTCATAGATAAATAATCCCTCAGGTCTTTCACCTTCATCTTCAATAACTCTTCACGGGAGAAAAAAGTTGAGCGGAACCTCCAGCAGAGTTGACATATGGGTTGACTACCATTTACTTGGGAAAAACACGATCCACAAAAGTTATTCATGCAATCCGTGCAAGGGCTCTATAAAGAAAGGAAGCAGAATAAAAAAAATGATGCCTGCATATAACTTGGAAATTGTTAGCAATACTAACAACAGCACACTTTATATTCATCTGGAGGAGTGTATGCCATTCACTGTGGTCAATGATTACCTGTGAGTCATCCAGCTTAACATATGCCCTTTAGAATGGCAGGTGCGTAACGCAATGTGAAGCTTTGTTGTATAATTATTGCAATTTTGTATTACACTGGAAAGATCATCTGTCTTCTACCATTATGATAATCACAACAAAAAAGCATATATTTATACATCTGCAAAGAAGCTTTGAAATGGACTGTAGAAATGCTGGACAAAATACAATAAGCAGAACAAAGATCAGATGACCTATCCAGCTTAACCAATCAAAACCATTCTTTCCACATGTCAACTGCACATAAACTCATATCAGACACACTCACAGTCGGTCTAGAAACAAAAAGCAATTTTTTTTCTATGCAAGATACAGCAGCCCCAGAAAATCATTTAATACTTCTGAAGTACTTATAGTCCGTGTACTGCCCTTATATGTGGGGCAGTACCAAGTGTTATTTGGCAATGTGGCATGCTATATATTTATTTTGTTATGGATGGTACGGATCCCTGGGTTTTAATGGATTATAAAATAGCTTTAAAAACACATAACGTCTGATGAATATCATTTACTTCTTATATGTGTTTTACTGCTAGTTTGCTGGAGTCAACACTTTTCATATTCTATTTTGTTTGCTTTGCAAATTACTTACGGTCACCAATCATACCGTCTAGCTGTGCAACAGATCTTATTTTCTCTTGCTTTGTATATTCAGAAGTATAAAAGAGACTACACTCACTTCCACGATCTGTATTCTAGAGCTATTGTCACTATTTATTTACTGTAAGAGAGGCATTTGATTGGTGGGCTTCTTAAACTATTTGCCTCAAAGCTTCTCCCACTTCTTCATTGGACAATGATCATCAAGATCCATACGAAGCTTGAGAAAAGAGTTGGCAAATAAGGCTTTGAAGGAAGAGGCTAGGCTGTTCAGTTGCAGGAATAAAGGTTAAGTTACATGTTTTTTTTTTCTCTTTTCACTTTATTTTTAAAATGGGGAATAGTCTTAATGAGATGCAACTTAAAATAATAATCCCAATGTCAATGTCAAAAAAAAAAAAAAATAGCACGTAGTATCCCTGTAAATTTTATTTTATTTGAGAGATGAGCCCCGTTTCATGTTTGGTAGGTAAACACTTAAAATAAATACAATTCCTTGCTTTAAAGGAAAACGGTCACCTGGAAACTTTTTTCATTTCATCATAGTTTTGAAAGGAAATATATATTTTTTGATTCGCACCTTGGGTCAGACAGTGTATGAACATCAATAGTTAGTCTCTTTAAAGCTTTACTCCCTGCACAAAAATAGGTGAGACCACAGAGGCTGTTTTTAAACACAGTCTGACACAAGTTGCAGGTATATGGCAGAAGGATCCTGTATTATACTAAAGGTATAGATGGGGTTTTTTTTTTTCCCTTCTTCATTTTGAACATATACTTTATAAAAATAAATAATAAAAATAAACACAAACCCATTTGCACTTTAAACAACATTTATAGTGTTAGGAATACAACAGTGTATTCCTAACACTATAGTACCCTCTGGTCCTCCCCTCACAATCCCACCCCCTGCACATAAAGGGTTTAAAAAAAAAAAAAAAAAAAAACTTTAAAATCAATCACTTACCCAGTTCCAGCACTGAGGTCCTTCAGTGCTTAGTCACAGTCTGCCTCCTCTGACAGGGGACCTAACGCGCATGCACATTAGGCCTTCCCCACAGGAAAGCATTGCTTCAATGCTTTCCTATCAGGTTTTCTCTGAATCTGGACACTCATGCACAGTGTGAGGACGTCCCGTGTTGTTTCATGGAGTCAACTGGCAGACAGCCACTCCACTAGAGGCAGTCAAATTACTGCAATGTAAACATTACAGTATCTGTAGAACTGCAGAGTTCTACATTGCAGGCCTAAGGGGGTCACAGACAGGGCACCCAGGCAACTTCAATGAGATAAAGTGGCAGCCTATAGTGTACCATTTTTAAAGTCAGCTTACTTCACTGTAGATTAATAAGTTAAAAAGCAGAATAACCACAGTAACATGGTGTCGAAAGCTAAAATGTCTGCTTTCGATGATAGAGACGGTAGTTTTTTTACACTGGCTATTAAAGGACCACTATAGTGCTAGGAAAACAAACTAGTATTAATAGGTCCCCACTATAGTATTAATAGGTTCCCCTCAGGGTCCCACTCCCACCGGTCTGAAGTTGGAGGAAGGGGTTAAACACTAACCTTTCTCCAGCGCCGGGCTCCCTCGGCACTGGGGACTCTCCTCCTCCTTCCGACGTCATCGGCTGAATGCGCACTGTGGCGGCTGTCAATGAGACAGTTTCTCTGAAACTGCTAGGTTTACAGCAGGCAGGGTTTAACCTAGAGGGACCTGGCACCCAGACCACTTCATTGAGCTGAAGTAGTCTGGGTGCCTATAGTGGTCCTTTAAAGTTTTGAACTGCAAAATAAAATACTTTAAGGGAGAAATGTATCAAAACGCCCCTGGCAAAAATAAAAACTGAACGAATGAATGAATAAAATAAAAAAGAGGAAAGCAGAACTTGTCCTGTCAGGAGAGGATGCAAGAAGTCTTGGAACATGCATTAATCAATCAGATTGGTGGAGTGAATCACTTTGTGTGAACTGGTACAAATAGTACACACTTGACTTTAGACAATGGGTCAGCAGACGGCTAACCAAACAAAGAGGTTTTCTTGAAGATAATTCTGTGTGCATTGTTGCTTTGTTCATTCTTGTCTGAATGATTTAAAGTGACATGGACAAAGGCAGCTAAGTAACAAAACACAGATGGAATAAAGAAGTGGGTGTTTACTGCTTAGTACAGTGTGCGGGTGCTTTATATTTCCTAAGGTAACCAAAGTCCTAAATTATTCTTCAGTTAAATTCAATGGGGTCAAGATACAAATCATAGGATAAAAGACTCAGCTGTAATATTGTGTGCCCACATTTATCAAACAGAATCTTTGAAATACACATAAAAATTTTTTTTTTAAATAAATTGGTATTCTCACATTATAAAATTTAAAGAGCTTTGCATTCAATATACTATTTTTCCTCTAACTTGAATAAGGATCTGATTTAAAAAAGAAAAAAAAATGCTGAGGTAATGATGGGTAAAAATGTTGACCTTATCTTGGAGAAACCACAATAAAATGCGGACAATAAGTGTGGACATGCTATAGTGAATTTAGTCACAAAGATAAGTTTTTAGGCAAAGCAGTGCAACGATCCTGGCTTGGAACCCAGGCAAAAAACAGAATGCCAGTCAAAGACTGTTAAGCCTGGGCAATTATCTGAGAAACTCTAGGAGCTAACCAAATCGACATACCATCTCCAGAATAGGATAAAAATTTAAACATGCTGAAAGTCATGGTTGGGGCTTGGAAACATTCCATTAAAACTTCCAAATACTCCAATAACAAAGACATTGATTTTATAACATAGCTATAACATAGGGAGAATTACCATCAAATCAGTAGGGATGAATTCTAGGAGAGACAGGTTACTTGTACAGAGAAGATGCATTCTAGAGAACCAGATTATTAGAGAGCCTTTTCAAGCAAAGAATCATATCTGGGAATAGTAGACGAGCTACGACTACTATGTAGATTGTAGAAAGAGCATCACATTGAGAAGAAGCCGTATTAGAAACATCTCAAAATATTCGTATCAGGAATATATCAAGAGGATTAAGCACAGGCCTTAAGGACCACTATAGGCACCCAGACCACTTCAGCTCAATTAAGTGGTCTGGGTGCCAGGTCCCCCTAGTTTTAACCTTGCAGCTGAAAACATAGCAGTTTCAGAGAACAGAGAAAATCAAACTTATCTGACGCCCTCACGGAGTCCAGTGTGAAAAAAGATCCCAATAGGAAAGCATTGAGTAATGCTTTCCTATAGGCGGGTTTGAACGCGCCCGCCTCTGGCCGTGCATGCGCATTCGTCTCCACTTGGGAGCTGACGTCGATAGAGGAGGAAAGGTCACCAGTGCTGAGGGAGCCCGGCGCTGGATTAAGGTAAGCAAATAAATGATTAACCATTTATTCGCCGTGGAACGGGTCCCTAGTCACCATTTAGGTAACAAGGGCTCTATAGCGTTAGGAATACATGTTTGTATTCCTAATGCTATAGTGTTCCTTTAACCCCTTAAGGACACGACATGTGTGACATGTCATGATTCCTTGTTATTCCAGAAGTTTGGTCCTTAAGGGGTTAAAGGAAATCTATAGTTTCAGGAATACAAAACTGTATTCCTAATACTATAGTGGTAAACACATTTTAGGTTGCCCCACGCCTTGTCCCCATTGAAAAGGTATAAACGTACTTTTATTCCAGCATTGCTTGGGTCTCGCCACAGCTTGCGCTGTCTCCATGGCTGAGGTAATCAAAATGTAACAATCATAGCAAATCCAATGCTTTCACATGGGAAAGCATTGGGAGGCTATTGCACAGTAAAACGCTGCATTGTGCCAAACCGCATCACCTTATAGAGATACATTGAATCAATGCATCTCTAAAGGGAACGTTCAGCGCCTCCACTAAGTGTTTGCAGACACTTAATGTCATTGCTGCAAATTGTGTAGCACCTCTAGTGGCAGCCTGGGTGTTCTTAGGCAGTGTTAACATTAAAAACCCTGCATGGAAATACTATACATACTAGAACAACTATATTATGCAGTAGTTGTTCTGATGACTAGTGTCCATTTAAAGCGGCACTGTCATGGCCGAATCCAGTTGTTTGTTTGTTTTTTAAACCCTCCACCCAACCCAACTACATCAAATTCTCCCTCAAATGCCCCTAAGCCCCTATCTCACCTATTTTTTAATCTTTATTTTCTGCTCGGACCTAGGTCCTTGGCACCTCCATCTTTGTGTGGGTAGATGAAGTCCCTGTGGGTCACACCATCTGCCCACACTAGATCGCGCAGTGAAATTCCCACGCATGCCCAGTTAAACACTTGGGCATTCGAACGCGAATTTCATCTATTCATTCGTCAGAAAGGGTGGGAGGCCTATTGTAATTTAGGCCCCCCACCTTTCGCTCCTGGGTGGAATGCTAAGTCCCCCCTTCAGTTTAATAGCCCCCACTCGCGTGGCACAGGTGGGTGGACACTGACACTAGGGTTTTTTTTTGTTTGTTTGTTTTTTTATATACACACACACACACACACACACACACACACACACAACAGGCTGCTCATTGTTTACTAGACAAATTCTGCCGCAGAATTTACTAAGTAATCTTTACTTGGTATTTCGTAAATTTGTCTGAAAGAAAATATTTAGGTCTTACAGCCTTTTTGTAGATAGCTCCCTAATACCGTGGGAATTAGAGAGTTATCTACTAAGCGGCTGCAAGATGCAGCCGCGGCACGAATCGGAATTTAATTAATTCGAATGAAATTCTGATACGAATAAAGTCCCGAATTGCGTCCTAATACGAATGGAGAAACTGTTCTCATTCTGTTAGGACGCAATTCGATAGTTTTGCCGAATGACAGGACGTTCGGGAATACTGACAGGAAGCATCGTGAGATCACGGAGGAACAGTAAGAATTGTGGGAAAATTGCTCTGTATATTATTTCCATGCAGGGTTTTTAATGTTAACACTGCCTAAGAACACCCAGGCTGCCACTAGAGGTGCTACACAATGTGCAGCAATGACTTTGCTCCTCCGCTGGTCAGAGATGGTCAGGTGTAGGAAACCTCCATAAGACAAAATAGTCCCTACTTTGTCTTATGTTTTAAAGAAAACTATAGCAGACAGGAAGAAATGAAGAACAGATCCTGACAGAGGGAGAGAAGAGGAATCGATTAGGGAAAGGTAAGTTCGGCATGACAATGCCGCTTTAACTTAAGAATGTAAGGAAGAGGTTATTACATTGTCAAATAGGATAATGCCTACTGGTGATCCAAGGCTTAACCTAAAAGACAATTGTCTGAAGTAGAGCACAATATACAGTGAGACACAAAACTGTAGAGGTCCTTTTCTTCCTACAACTTCTGTCATTACTCTCATGACACTATTCAAATAGGTTTATTCGGTCAGAAATTCTGTACACAAGTTTCAAAAAATGTAATTGCCCATCCAAGACATGCTTTGGGCTGTCTGCATCTTTCTGGCTAGATAAATTACAGAATGTACATTTTCTCTCGATTCTCTATACCAACCAAAATGTTATTACATATTAAAACGCAAACCTCTCACAAACCAATGTTATTATCTGCTTGATGATATGGATAGTAACTCTAAGATATAACCAATTTTCTAACATCCCCTATACTTTGCTGTTGTGTTTTGCTTCCTTTTGATCGGCAGTTTTTTACTAAATTTTGCCACTCTTTTTTGTCTTTGTACCATTTGATGTGCAGGGAATAAACCTAATCAAGTGCAAACGTTTAAAGTTTACAGCACAATGGCCCTACAGAAGCGTCCAATGGTGTTTGAAGGGAATATGTGACCAAGTTTACTTGTTGAGAGGTGACTGATGAGCAGGTAAAATGGTTACAGCAAAGTGGAATTAAAGGGGCATTTATCACTATAAAAAAATTTTAATAAGCAAACACTTATACAAACCAAAATAAAACAAGAACAATTTGAAAAGTATGTAATAACTTAGACTGCATTGTTAAACATGACTCTCAGCCAAGGAAGTTTCTTCTGTCCCCCCCACACATTTTATTAATTTCAGACTAGTCCACTAATGACAGAAACAGGGGATCATTTTGCAGCAGCAGTAAAGAAAAAACGGACACCAATGCCTGTTCTGCATGATAACCATGATTAGACACCCTCTCTTTTCCCCCTGAGGGTGGAAAGTAAGCTTTTGTGACTATATAGTGTCCCTTTAAGGAGGTTTGCCTGCTTATTATGGCAGCTGCAGAATGTAAATGTACAAAACAAGAATAATTGTACAATTACTCGTGATTAAGTTACTTTGAAATGTAAAAGCTTAACCCATAGGCAGCCACAAGTCCAAATAGTGTTGGTATTGAAAAGAAAAATGCAATTAATTAAAATGGTACAAGAGGAAAGCAGTCTCCTGATCTTACCTTTCTGATAGGTAGCTGTGTGCCACAAGCCCTACAAGTAATATTTGGAATGGTAGAGGGGGGTCTGACGTTTGGGTTTGAAGAAGCCTGAGTTCTCCCACTGGGAATAGTGTCTTCTGGCTGAGAATCTAGACAGAGCCAGTTACAGCATGCAGCCCACATAATAGCAGCTGAAAAATAGAGAGAAGTTCACTTTAATTCAGAGAAATGAGGCACTACAACAAGCAAAACGCAAAGGATCAAATTAAGGAAAAACAATAAGAAACTCCTTTTTAATTTTCAAATTGAAAAATATACTCCAACTTTCCATCTATTTTGAAATTTTATATACACATACCTCTGTAACTCTGATCCTAGAATATAACATGGGAAATCAGTTTAGGAGCTCAATCGAGAACATATCTAATAAATCACAATAATTTATATAATCATTGAGCTAAAATAATATTTTCTTTTACTGCTGTAAAATATTTTAACACATCAAGGTAAAATTACAAAATTATCAGTTCTCTATATGCAAGATATTTAGAAAGTCATATCCTGTCAATGCTATTTCGATCCATAAATCAACTACAATGTGGTGCTGACCAACAGAAAATATCAAGATAACCACTTTTATTCTGTGTGCATATGATCCCTAAATGCAGAAAATAGTGACACCTAATGGCTGAATAAAATGTAAAATAGTAGAAATACAGTGAGTAAAAGTGTGTGGTAGCTAAAACAGCCACAGACCACATATGTGGAAACCCCTTCTACCACTTATATAGAAATACAAATAATAAATACAATAGGTGGAGCACACATCTGTTGATTCTAAAAAAGAAAACAGAGCATCATGTGTAATATGTACAAATAGAATATAGTAAATGGCAGTAGAGCGATATTACTCACAAGCCTAGAGCCAGTATGACATATGGCTCTTATGTGCAGCGCAGTGGGACTCTTAATAGGATGTCCCCATCCTTCTTGGTATTCCTTCTTGGGTAGTTGGAAGGTAGCAGAAGAAAGTCGCGATATTCCAATATACTTTCCCAATAAGAAAACTTTATTGTTGATAAAAAAAGGTATCTGATAAGTTGGAAATAGATTTTCCCAATAAAAATGCAAAATATAAAAAAAGTCTATAATAGACTTATTGTCCAAATAAAAGTCCAAAGTGTAGACTGTGTGTATCCAAAACGCGTTTCGCCCTATGGTGGGGGCTTCCTCAGTTTGTATTTCTATATAAATGGTAGAAGGTGTTTCCACTTAGGTGGTCTGTGGCTGTTTTAGCTACCACACACTTTTACTCACTGTATTTCTACTATTTTACATTTTGTATTGTGTTAAATCCCCTTTGATATACAGTAGAGAACCATTCCATCCTTTAGTTCTATATAACATATTACTACATTCAAACCTACTGTTCCATTATGTCCTATTTAGAAGACAGAAGCTATACAATTAGAGATATAGATCACATGTTTGCCTCAACGGCAGATACAAATAGTGATAAAAGCTATATCAATACAGAAAAGAGTAGAAATAATTTAGAAAAAAAAACCTTGATACGTGAAATGAAAATTAAATGGGAAATAGCCACTCTCAAAAAATATGTCAAAGAACAAATTACACCCAGAGGGCTTCGGTTTGAAAAAGACCCTACTTTTGATAGGGAAGATTCTTGTTTTATGACAGGATGGAATAAGCTCCTTGAAGGATTCTCCTTCAGTATGATAGGGTACATTGTATCTAGAAGAGAAGAAAACTTAATACAGATAGACGAGGAAATTACGCAATGGAAACAACAGCTTAGTGAGACAACTAATCCTGAAACATTTAATCAGATAATAAGGGAAATCAAAATCAAAGTCGAGAAAGTAGAGAAAGATACTATTGAAATAAAAAAAAAGGAAATACTTAAGAGACACCAATGACTATAAAACTGGAAATATAAGATTCCCTAAAAGTTCCCACTCCAATGCAAATAAACACAATTATAAAAATAACCAGTGGCGAACCCAGGAAGAATTAAGATCACATAAAAACATAAATTATAATACTCACCATAGGGATGACTCAGAGTTAAAACCCTATAGAGAAGCACAAAGAAGGAATACGTATACTAGAAAAGAACTACCTCAGACTACATATAGACATCCCTATAACAGATTTAACAATCAAAATAGAAGTTACAGTGATGTAGTGAAACAGGGCCCAAACAACCATGATAGAAGGTCTCCATATAAATGCAGCCCAAGCAGAACAAAGAGAATGCCCCCACATAGACAAAGAGAAGGTAGAGAATATGAAAAAGAGAAGAGATGTTCCCCCGAACCGACCAAAAGAAACAACACAGATACAGGAACTATAGAAAATAATCATCTTCATCCCTGCTCTGGAATTTACCAAACTAGAGAACAAAGAAGGAATGATAAGGAAATTAAACATCATGATGACACAACAAGATCTACACGAACTAGGGAAAGAATACCAGAAGATCACAAAACATCACAAGCATCTTCATCCTCGGTTTTTTTTGAGGGAACCAATTCAGGAGAGACTCAAATGGCAAGAGAAACCTCCATTGTGGGAATCCCCAGGCAAACGCCAGAGATCAATAGACTACGAAACAGAAGAGGAAGAGATAGGAAACAAAGAAAAAAGAGGGAAGAAATAAACTCAGATGGGAATTTCAACCTTACTGATCATATCCTAACGAATGAGGAACTGAAAGTCCTAAAAAAAGGTTTAAAATTTGCGCCCACACAGGAAATAAACAAATTTGAATTATTCATTGATATGAACAAATTTTTAAGAAAATTATGTTTAAAGAAATTCTTTCACGATGGGGAAAATAGGATACAAACAAGACAGGATCAGGAAAATGAATCCAACTTTATACATACAGATTTAAAAGAAAGGTCTAAATTTTTTCCAAAAAATCTGATCTCAAATGAAATGAGAGCTTTTGAAACCACAGTTATGGCGGAAATAAATAAAATAAAAAAATTAAATAAATATCAAGACAATATGTCGGTGAAAGAACAAAATACTTTTAAAAAAATACAAAAAAAATAAAATTTAGTTATCAAATCAGTGGATAAAGGAGGAGGGATAGTAATTTTCTCTAAAGCACAATATTTAAAAGAGTATGAGAGAATTCTCTCCGACGAAAATACCTATAAAAAACTAAAATCAGATCCAACTAGTAAAGTGAAAGATATATTTGACAAATACATACAAAAAGGTATAGATAAGGGTATATTAACAAAAAAAGAAGGAGAATATTTATCAATCCCCTATCCCAAAATTCCAGTGTTTTATTATCTTCCCAAAGTTCATAAAGACCTAAAAAATCTCCCAGGGCGTCCGATCATATCTGGGATAGATTCCATCTCTTCTAGAGTCTTTGAGTACATTGACTTACTGCTACAACCAATAGTATTGAAAAACCCAGCGTACTTGAAAGATACTATACACATATTACAACTTCTAAGTACCATTGAATGGGAAGATAACTATTTATTAGTGACAAGTGAGGTCACGTCATTGTACAGTATAATTCCGCATGAAGTGGGTTTGGAAGCAGTGAAACACTTCCTAACTAAAGCTAATTTTGAAATTGAACAAAGGGATTTTATATTGGAAGTTATTTACCAAATTCTAACCAACAATTTTTTTTGGTTCCAGAATACGTTTTATCTCCAGATTAGGGGTACGGCGATGGGCACCAAATTCGAACCCAGTTATGCCAATCTGTTTATGGCATATTGGAAGGAGATTTTTATTTTTTTGGAGCATCCCTGGGTGTCGAATTTGGTGACCTATCGACTGTACATAGATGATATTTTTCTTATCTGGAATGGTCCATATGATCTTTTACATATGTTTTAGCTTTTTTGTCATCCAACGAATGGGGAATTGTTCTTACTAGCACACAAAGCTCTACTACTATAAACTTTTTAGATCTCCAAATTTTTATTGAGAACCAACAAATTAAAAAACAAAAAAATTTTTATGCCAGTAGATGCCAATGGATATATAGAAAAAAAGAGTTGTCATCATAAACCCTGGCTAGAGAATGCCCCCAAGGGTCAGTTTTTTACGAATTCGACGGAATTGTACGAATGAACAGGATTACATAAACCAGGCGGACATCATAAAGAAACAATTTTTAGAAAAGGGCTATGAAGAGATCAAATTAACTGGAGCCATGAAATAAATTCAAGACACCCCTAGAGAACAACTATTAACTTACAAACAACAAAGAAATTCTAACCTAAATAAGAATGAAGCCCATTTCATATGTAATTTTAACGGGAATAATAAAAAAAATCAATTGAGTTATTAACAAACATTAGTATATGCTACAGAGAGATCCTATTCTAAAGAACTTATTACCAACAAGACTGAAAATTATCTATAGAGGTGCAGCTAACTTAAAAAGATCCTTAGTTCATAGTAGTGAGGGCCCATCCAAAAATACACCACATTTCTTAAACCAAAGTAAAGGTTTTTTTGGGTGTGGGACATGCTTAGCCTGTAGAACAACAAGAAGTCCTAAAAGGCATATAAAGAATCTCAATGAACATACGAAGATTGATTTCATTTTAAAAGATCAATTAACCTGCTTCTCAAAAGGAGTCATTTATTTACTGAAATGTCCCTACGATTTATTATATATAGGTAGGACCATTACAAATTTAAATGTTTGGATATCAGAACATGTTCGAAACATCAAAAAAGGTTTAGAAACCCACAGTGTTTCTAATCATTTTAAAAAACTCATCACAATCTTAACCCAGAACACCTCTTCTTTTGCCCATAAAAAAATAGTAAAAAAGGATTGGAGAGGTGGAGATTATATTAAAAAAAATAGGCTCCGAAGAGATGAAATTTATTTTTAATTTTAATACTTTGATTCCCCATGGTCTTAATTCAGACTTTGAGATTTGCCATTTTATTTAATTTTAATATGTTTAGGTTCCAGCCCTTTTTATAGCTTGTTTCATATTTTTTGATTTCCACGTCCCCACTTTTTTATATTTTTATATATTTTTTTTTATTTTACGAGTTGTCACTTTTAATACAACACAATGAATGTGGGTATACATTCACTGTCACTAATATCACCTTATAATTTACAGTACACCTATTCAGGTCTCTATGAGAAGAACTGTACACACTATGGATTTTTATTTTATATGTATAATATGCAATGTGTTGTATGTGCTGACATTACTGCTTAGGCTATATATATATATATATATATATATATATCTATATATATATCTATCTATCTATCTATATCTATCTATCTATCACAACAGTGTGACAATATAGAGAACTGCCTCTTCTACAGTGGAATGCATAGACTCGGCACTATGCGTTCCAGTGACGTCATTGGTGCGTCCCATGAATAGAAACCGGAAGTGACGCGCATGAAGCCGGCGGTGGAACGCATGATGCGTTCCACACACAGAAAACCCGGAAGTAAAAGAAACTTATATCATATAAAGACGCCAGAGAGGCCCCCACTCACAATACTGACCGATACCAACTGAGGAAGCCCCCACCATAGGGCGAAATGCGTTTTGGATAAACACAGTCTACACTTTGGACTTTTATTTGGACAATAACAGTCTATTATAGACTTTTTTTATATTTTGCATTTTTATTGGGAAAATCTATTTCCAACTTATCAGATACCTTTTTTTTATCAACAATAAAGTTTTCTTATTGAGAAAGTATATTGGAATATCGCGACTTTCTTCTGCTACCTTCCAACTACCCAAGAAGGAATACCAAGAAGGATGGGGACATCCTATTAAGAGTCCCACTGCGCTGCACATAAGAGCCATATGTCATACTGGCTCTAGGCTTGTGAGTAATATCGCTCTACTGCCATTTACTATATTCTATTTGTACATATTACACTATGATGCTCTGTTTTCTTTTTTAGAATCAACAGATGTGTGCTCCACCTATTGTATGTATAATGGCTGAATAAGTAAAACATTGTTTTATGTTGCAAACTTTATTTAAAGGGACACTGTAGGCACCCAGACCACTTCAGCTAATTAAAAGTATTCTGGGTGCCGTGACCCTTTTGCACTTAGTTTATATTGCAGCTCTAAGTCTGCCCCCAGTGGCTGTCTGCCAGACAGCCACAGGGGGCGCTTCTGGAATCCAAACTGAATTTTGGTCCGTTATCTGACGCTGGACGTCCTCACGTCAGATTTTCCCCATAGGAAAGCATTGATTAATGCTTTCCTATGGGGAGGTCAAATGCTCGCGCGGCCATTACCAAGCATGCACATTAGGTGTCCCCCGCCAGCTGACATCGGCGCTGGATTCAGTTATGTGGCTGAGGGGGTTTAACCCCTTGCGCCCCACGGGAGGGGCGGACCTATTAACCCTATAGTGCCAATAAAATGGGTTTGTTTTCTTGGCACTATAGGATCCCTTTAACCTTTAGAATCCAAGCAGAACTGAATTCAACAGTAGTAAAACACAAAAGTACATTACGGGGTAAAATTTAAATTTTTAAGACAAAAAAAAAAGCATTACAAAATCATGCAAGGTGGTCCGCTTTCTGGTCTATGGGGCCTTTTTTTTTTTCATTCCACAAACTCCTGTCCAACAAGCTTAGTGCTAAACAATTATTACAAAATTTAAAAAAACAAAATAAATTCTAAGTCACTCTTATAGGCACCCAAACTAGAAAACACTTTATCTCTACACCCCTTAATCCTGCAATGTAAAACATTGCAGTTTTAGAGAAACTGTAATGTTTACACTGCAGTACTAAGACTGCCTTTAGTGGATACCTCTACCAGATAGCTACTAGAGGTGCTTAATGGAGTTTCAGAGAGTTTAAATCAGTGAAACAACACTTGAAGTCTTCAAACTCTGAGTGCTACCCAGCGCCAAGGGACATGGCCACAGGAATCGGGTAAGTGACTAAAGGATTGTTGAACCCTTTACAGCTTTGTGTTCCTTTAACCCCTTAAGAACACATGACGTGTGACATGTCATGATTCCCTTTTATTCCAGAAGTTTGGTCCTTAAGGGGTTAAAGTGGATGGAAATAAGCACAGCATGCAACCATGATAAGATGTGATGCTGCTTAGTGTTCTGCCTCCAGCAAAAACCTTTGGAGACATTCAGTGCAGTTTCCTGTATTTGTAGCCTTTTGTTTATGGTTCTGATTATATACCAATTGTTACCTCTGTCCTTTGCAGTGGGCCCCTAACAGGAAAAATTCTCTTATGTGTGAACATTCTACACTGTACCCTGACAGATATTTTACATTTTATAATGTTTCATGCTAGTTTATACTAGTATTTTCTGTGATGCGATTCTTTATCACTGATTTTAGTCTATTACTTAGTTTGTATTTCTTGTCAGTTTATGATCCAGCGCTCGAGTCCTGCAGGAACGCATGGGAACGGCATTCCTGCACTTTTTCCACAGCAGGAACGCTGTTCCGGTAAGTAGTCCTGCAGGACTCGTTTGCCTGTGAGGCAAACTAAGCTCCAGGCGTGCGGCAAGGAAGTACTGATTTGCACAGAGTCACAGCCACCACCACACCCCCTCCATACAATATCACCATCCCCAATCACATTTCAGCCCCCACACACTGTCACACCTTCACCCAGAGATATAGATATACATACACACATGCAAGAGTATAATTTTTTTTGGTAGGGTGCGGGGGGAGGGGGATGGATCGTAGGTGAGTTCCCACTCTTTTTCCCAGGACTTGACCCCTGTCATGATCACTTTTACCTCAGTACATTAGCATAACAGATGACGTTATATCTGTTATAATACTGCCTCATTGCTACTGTACACTACTTGTTTGACATTTTACTAATCTTACTCACTGAGCTACATCATATATCTGTATTTGTGTATTATAGTTTTACGATTTGTGTAATGCACTGCACTGGATTTGGTTATGTGTGATTTAACACAGGGCTGACATTAAACATGAAACATTATTTTTTATAAACCAGCAAACACTTTGAAAATTAATATACAAACCAAATAAATAAAGCAAGATACATTTTTAAAAGTATATAATAAATATTTTTAAACTTATTATAAAGTTGGTCAAATGGCATTATTGGGCACACCTCACAGGCAGGGGAGTTTCTTCAGCCTCCACCCTTTACCCACCCAGCTCAGTTTACACCAGTCCACTAATGACAGAAACAAGACCTCATTCTCAGGAGTGAGAAACTGGACACCTCATCCTACTCTGCATGATCACACTGATTAGACTCCCTCTGTCAGAATGCTGCAAGGTAAAGTGGTCTTAACCCTGCACATGTGTAGGCATGTTATGCATGCCCAGTGCAGACCTTGGGATAGGACTAATTGGTTAGATTAGGAGTCCCATCTACAGTGGGTGTGGTGACCATAAGAAAGAAGAATCAGGTTAACATGGAAAAATAAATTTTTGCTTGCTTTTTTCAGCCTGCAGAGTGAGGCAACTATTTCAATCAAACCTATAACTTTTGAATGAGATAAGTTGACTTAAAGGAACACAATAGGGCCAGGAAAACAAACATGTATTCCTGACCCTATAGTATTAAAAGCACAGTCTAGCCCCCCTGCCTCCTCCCCCTCTAAATATAACAAAATCTTACTTTTATTTGAGTTTGCTGTTGCTGGCCCAGCCACTGATCTGCCTGCTTTGCGGACATCATCAGGAGTGTTATACAAAGCCCAACACTATGCTTTCTCATAGGATTGGCTGATACTGTCAAGAAGGCAGATCAGGGGCAGAGCCAGCACAAGCCAAAGACAGCCCTGGTTAATCACCACCAATGCATCTCTATGAGGAAAGTTCAGTGTCTCCATGCAGAACGTGGAGATTGTGAATGGCAGGGCTGCATGCTGTGCAGCACTTCCCATGGAAGCAGCTCTAGTGGCCACTGGAAGTGTCCCTAGGCATAGTGTAAGCACCGTAGTTTCTCTGAAAAGACCGTGTTTGAATGCAAAAGTCTACAGGGACTGTCTAAAACTCAGCAGAACAACTAAAATCTGTAGTTGCCCAGGTGACTATAGTGTCCCTTTAAAATCAACTCTCTCAGCAAACAAATATGGGGATTCAGTTCTACGATAATAGTCATATTGTGTTAAGCCTACCGCCACATTATCATAAGGGTATACGTGCACCTGCAGAGAAGGCACCTATTGCATTGTGTTCACATTATATTGATCTAGGGTACATAAATAGTCTGCTTAGGCCATTTGCGTTCACATAGCTGATCCTCCAGTTTGGGCACCCTCCAGCCTTGGTAATAGTGGGATACAAAATACAGATTAAGGAACTGCGCACAAACAAAAATAAGGTTTTAAAATTTTACAAGGCTACTTAATCATCTATCTCCCAAATAAAGGGATTAAGTTCCACCATATAGCCATATCATATTAATCCTACCAGTATGCCAGTGGTGACGTAGTGGTAGGCTTAAAGGAACACTGTAGCGTTAGGAATACAAATATGCATTCCTAACGCTATATAGCGCTAGTCACTTAAATGGTATTTGTTTACCTTAATCCAGCGCCGGGCTTCTACGGCACTGGTGACCTCTCCTCCTCCATCGACGTCAGCTCCCGAGTGGAGCCAAATGCGCATGCACGGCCAGAGGCGGGCGCATTCAAACCCACCCATTGGAAAGTATTACTCAATGCTTTCCTATGGGAATCTTTTTTTACACTGGACTCTGTGAGGACATCCAGCGTCAAATAAGTGTGATTTACTCTGTGTAAATCGCGGAAGCGGCCTTTAGTGGCTGTCAGGGAGAAACTGCTATGTTTTCAGCTGCAGGGTTGAAACTAGGGGGACCTGGCAGCCAGACCACTTCATTGAGCTGCAGTGGTCTGGATGCCTATAGTGGTCCTTTAACACTATATCGTAGAACTGATGACCGTTATTAGCTTGCAGTTGTTCACTAGAATTCTCTGTTACATACCTGAAAAAAATCAGAGATTTGATTTAAAGTGCTGTGGAATATGTTAGAGCTATAGAAATAATAATTATCAGTCCTGCTTCAGGCTAATTTTTTTCACAGGTATCTTACATAGTATTCTAGTGAACAACTGCAAGCTAACAACTGTCATCACACAAATAACCAGTCAGGAAGGCCAGAGGGTGCCAAAGCTTGAGGATCAATTACATGAACTCAATACAGCCTAAGCAGACTATTTACTATAGATCAATAACTCATCTCACAGAAGTCAAAGCAAGAGTCAAATTATCTGTTGCCACCCTTTCATGTATTCACAGTTGCATTATAGAAAAAGATTCATGTATAATCTCTGATCAGTTAGGCAGACATGCAGAGTTGCCTTTTATTCCAGCAGGTTTTGTTTAACCTAGTGAATGCATAAACTAGCTATCAATGTTTAAAATGTACCTGTAATAATAAAACTATAAAAAATAAAAATAAAAAAAAAGTACATTAGCATATTAAAAATAATCTATGCATTGCGCTAGTAGAATTGCTAGAAAATGTATAGATCGTCATAGTCCTACAAATCTATATAAACAAATGTGTTACTTTAGAAGAATGTTCTGAAGTGGATAATGGACCAAAAATGTCAGTGCAATCTGAATGGGCAGTAGGATATAGAGTTGTGTGAGGTGGGCACAGACTTACCATGAAAACAGTGCTTTGGGGAGGGGGGATATCTAAATTATACTAATTGTGATGCACACAAGCAAAAAAATCTCATCATACTACATTTTTGCACTAATGCCTAGACTACATGAAATTAGTCAAGTCCAAATTTATGAACTAAGTCTTGTGAACTGTTGTAATGTAACAAAATAATAAATGCAACACAGACATTCTAGAAAAGCAACAAGCCAACACCAGTGAAACACTCCTTATTTATTTGGCTACAAAGTCCCCAAAAATGATACCGTAGTCATGAAAGCCTGAAAAACAGGTTTAGTTCGGTATGCCAGTAAATGCATTTTTGCCATCATGTAAAAATGATTAAAATTAGCTTTTGGCTGTTGGTTTGGTACGGATTATTCTTTTAAAGGGAACAAAGTTCTAATTCTGCTATATTAATATTATTATATTTTTAAATGCTAGTTTACACTAAACTTTATATAAAAAGAAAAGGCTGAAACAAAAACATTTTGAAAAATGCTACAGAAATTTCAATTTTAATTGAATTCGTTTTAGTTTTTTTAAATTTGTTTTTGTTCTAAATGTATACAATTAAAGGTTTTAGATTACATTTATTTTTACATATTACAAGGGTAGGCACCCTTACGGATCACATCTCCTATAATCATCCAAGGATAGTCCACAACATCTGGCGTGTCAAAGGATTCCTAGTTAGGAACGGCTCTGTTTCATCTATACAAAAAAACTTAAACTCACAGATTATGGTGTGTTAATACTCCACTTTTTCTGATAGCCATACTGGATTAACTGCAAAAAAAGATATTCAGATATCCCATATGTTCCATTCAATTGCATTGCTAATTGTAGTATAAGGTGTTTTGCCATACCATTCTGTAAATCGTTTATACTAAGCAGACTGCATGGATCAGTCTATTGCACAAAACATGGATATGAACATGTGGTTTCCTGCTTTCCTTTTTTCTGTGCACATCACATAGTATGTAAATTAGGTCTTAGGCCGTGTAATGATTTATTGGTCAATTTCATGCTTCCATTTTTATTTATTTATTTGCTTGTTTGTTTAAAGACTAAATTTGCAGCCATTTCCTATAGCTTTTTTTTTTTCTTTTAATTCAAAATAACTGGCATATGAGTTTATTAAGCAGTAATTTGAGGCGCATTAGTAAAGGAATTTGAAACATACCAGAAAATCCAAAAATAATTCAAAATCAGGCATTTTATCAAAAATGTTGGATTCCATCGTCAGTTCATCAAACTCTAGAATAGGACTGGCCTAATGGTAGGTCCCTAGATGTTCTAGAAAGTAAATTGCCATGATGCCATGCCAGTCTATAGTCTGCAAAGACCGCAGATGTTGTCAGAGTGGCTTTAGAGATGCCAAACTGTGTCAAAAAAACAAACAAAAAAACACATTCTGCAGACTGTTATCATGCAAACCTACTCCAGCACCATTCAAATAAAGCTAACAAGGTGTTACAGAGAACTCTCTTATCACATCTCTCACAACCTACGCTGATCTAAACGTTTTTTTGTTGGTTTGCTTTTTATTAGATTTTTCCAAATATGGCATAAAATCCTTTTTTTTTTATGGGGGTTGTTAAACTACTCAAGGTTGAATACACTTGACTAGGCCATATGCCCTAATCAAGCGCGACACTTTATGAATGAAATTACACAAGCTTTGGAGTCTCACACATTTAATGTGTTTGTGTTTATAGGTCTGTAAATTACCTTGCAAACTTTTCACACAACACATCTGCTCTATTTTTCAGAGTAAAAAGTGTAATGATTTGGCAGATTTCTAGAACTGCGTGCACAATTTTTTAAATCAGTTTTGTTTTGTTTTTTTAGCTATTGCTTCTGTCATTTTTAATTCCAATGCAACAGATTTATCAATCTTTCCATCACTTTTCCAACATCTTTTACACACCACTTTCAGTTTGGTGATCTTTTCTGACATGGACTTTTCTGCAAAAAAGTTGCAGAATTTAGACAGAGAAAAGTGGACACTTTTTAGAACATTTTAATAAGTATTAGAAACCCAAAATAAAAGACTTTTCATATCACTTTGATATATCCAATGTTTCTGAAAGGTCACCGGTGCAGAAGCCATTTTTAATTGACAGAAAAGAGAAAAGTTTAGTTTGGCAAGGAGTCAAGACAGAGGCACTCTGTTCTAAGATGGGAAATGGATATTTACTAAAGTGAGAATTTAAAGTGAATTCAAATGTAAAGGACCACTGTAGGCACCCAAACCACTTCAGCTCAATGAAGTGGTCTGGGTGCCAGGTTCCCCTAGTTTTATCCCTGCAGGTGAAAACATAGTTTACACTGCAGGGTTATCCAGCCTCTAGTGGCTGTCTCCCTCACAGCCACTGAAGGACGCTTCCGCAATTTACACGGAGTAAATCACACTTATTTGACGCTGGACGTCCTCACGGAGTCCAGTGTCAAAAAAGATCCCCATAGGAAAGCATTCAGTAGCTTTCCTATGGGCGGATTTGAATGTGCGCGCCTCTGGCCGCGCATGCAGCTCCACTCGGAAGCGGACGTCGATGGAGGAAGTGAGGTCACCAGTGCCGAGGGAGCCCAGAACTGGATTAAGGTAAGCAAATAAATGGTTAATAAGCCATTTATTTGCCGCGGAACGGTGCCCTAGTCACGGCTCAATTGCGTTAAGAATCCATATTTGTATTCCGTGCCTCCATACTTACCTGGCGCAGCAAACATCGATACTCCGATTCAGAGGGACTGCCTGGCAACCAGGCAGTACCCCTGCGTGCGATATTCTGCCTGGACAGAATAGCTGTCCAGGCAGTCCTTAGTCCCTAATGCTTGGAAAAAGTTAAAACAATTACACACATTCTAAAAACAATTTTATTTAATAAAAGTAAATATATATATATATATATATATAAAATTCTTAGTGCATATTTTAATATCAACATACATTTAGAATTAAATTTTACATATACACACAGAATATATATATATCTCTATCTCTATCTGTGAAAGTAAAGTTTCTGTGTGAAAAATACAAAAGAACAAATATGAATACCAACTTTGGTGTAGATAAGCAAGCCTTATGTTTGACCCTGTAACTTATAAAATAAATAAAACTATAAAAGTTTGACATCTGGGGTACTGTTGTACTCGTGAGTCATTGCTGAATACAAATATGAGTGTTTTAGAGTGATACAAAAATGTATAATGCGGATGATATAATGTGTAAAAGGGCATTTTTTTTGCAAAAAATAAATATGTACGCTAACTTGGCCAGTGTTTGTGACTAAGTTGCTACTAAAAAAGACTGGACATACCCCATTTGAATACCCTGGGTTGTCTACTTTTGCAAATCGTATACCAAGATGGGGGTAAATCTCATTCATGGGCTGCCATACGTTCTCATAGGCAACATAATCAATCTGGCAAATTTCAATGTGTAAAAACCCTATATTTGACCATGTAATTTTCCAAAACCCCATAAAACCTGTACATGGGGTGGGGTGGGGTGGGAGGAACTGTTGTACTCCTGATACATCACGGAATACAAATGTGTGTTTTATTCCAGTAAAGGTTAACAGTATTATGACATTCAAAGTTAAAGAACCACTATAGTGCCAGGAAAACAAACACGTTTTCCTGGCTCTATAGGGTCTTGGGGTCCCCTCCACCCTCTGGGTCCCACTCCTGCGGGGCTGAAGGGGGAGCGCTACCTCTGCGCTGGAGACTCTCCTAGCTCTTCCGACATCATCGGCCGAATGCGCATGCGCGGCAAGAGCCGTGTGCGCATTCAATCAGTTCAAAGGAAAGCATTTCTCAGTGCTTTCCTATGGACAGCAGCGTCTTCTCACTGTGAAAATCACAGTGAGAAGCGCGGAAGCACCTCTAGCGGCTGTCAATGAGACAGTTACTAGAGGCTGGATTAACCCTAATGTAAACATAGCAGTTTCCCTGAAACTTCTATGTTTACAGCTACAGGGTTAACCCTAGATGGTGCTGAAGTGGTCTGGGTGCCTATAGTGGTCCTTTAAAATGCCATGCAGAACTAAACAAAACAAAATATACTATCAAACTTTTTTAGATTTTATTCAGATTAAAATTGTTTCATATATAAATATTTGATGCGACATGAAAGCCCTGTTTTTCCTAAACAAAATGATATATAGTAGGTGTGGGTGAACTTGATATGAAAGAGGTGAATAACAGTTGAACAGACATATAGCGCAAATTAAAGGTTTTGTTTTGATCAGAACTTGTACAATTGCCTCTATCCTTAAGGGGTTAATAATATATGCCTTGGCAATATGTAAAAAGAAGTATTCACTTATGCGCAATTGCTGTCCATAATTACCATTGTAAAGTAGCCTCCTAATAATCTAAATTGCAGTAATGACTCCAATTTGCAAAACCTGCTCAACTTGAGTGCAGAATGTCCGTTCCATACCACCTAAAACGAAGGTCTCATTATGAGGTTGTCAGGTTGTTCAAAATGTGACTCATTTTTGTAAACGTAGGAACAGCTTACCAAATGCTGATCTCACAGATAGTTCGGACATGCTTAAAGTAGCACTATATAATAATCCATAACATTATAATTTTATTGCCCCAAATTATTAGGGAGGGGTCTTCTGTATTCTATGCCCCACTTTGAGTGTAATAGGATAAATAAATTGACCCGTTCCTCACCTGGAATCCAGATCTGAAACACTCTGCAGTCTCATCAGCTTCCACTGACGTCATCAGGCTTGTCCAATCCAAGGTTTCTCAAATATAAACTTTGTGGACTTAATACTCATGAGTCGCATGCAATGTGCAAATCAAATGCTTTTCTATTTAAGAAGCATCAGAGGACTTTCGACATCCATATTAAATGCCTGGGGATATCGACTTCATTGTGGGAACTGAGGGACTATCGATTGCTAGTCAGAGAGACAGCCACAAAGGAGTGTTTAGCCCTGTAATGTACACAGTCATATCTTCAAAAAAGCAATTACATTGCAGGAGTAATAAACCAGGCCCACTACAAACAAGCAACTTTATTGAGATGAAGTGGTCTGGGTGCATATAGTGTCCCTTTAAAGAGTCTAATTCCTATTTTTTTTCCCCTCCATAAATGTTCTTTTCCTAAATAATGAACTCCATTAGCCTAATGTATGATTGGTCAGGTATGTTTATATATAGTACTGTGAAGTGAAATGAGTTTAATTTTCTTCAGAATGCAGTGAAACTGTAAAGCAATGTTTAACAAAAGCCCTGTGATTTAGTTATTGCCCAAGGACTGTGACACAGTCACGTGATCAGAGTCATGTACAATCTTATGACCTGGAAATTCCAGTTAAACCAGTGAAGCAAATGTTAGACGAACAAGAAAAATAATAAAAAAATAACATCCTTTCTAGTAACTTTATAGCTCTTCCCCAAACAGAATCGTGAGTGTGCAATTTCCAACAACAGAAAAGATCCATTCTATCTTTTGTGTGCTACTGACATACAGGGATGTAGAGTTCACAGTGACAAGCAATATCAGATTTAATACTGGTCTTACAAACTAAGCATGGACAAGGTGACACAAAAACACCAAGGGAAGAATAATCTCATAATGTGCTTAGATTAACTCTTAGGTTCAGCACGGGGATGACAAAACCTCTGTATCTCCATATTACTGTATGTTCAGAAATATATATGAAGTACACACAGTGTATGTGTGTGGTTTTTTTTTTTTTCTCCTCTTGGATTATAACTATGCTTGGATCAAATATAAAAAAAGAAAAAAAAAAAAAAAGAAAGAAAACTGTGTTTAGAATAGCGTTTATTGTTGTGGAAATGAAGGGTTTTGTCAAGATGCCTGTCTAGAGATATATTATTTCTGGAAATTTCAAAGCCATGGGGGAAAATATATATATATATATATATATATATATATATATATATATATATATATATATATATATATATATATATATATATATATATATATATATATATGTCAAGAGCATGTGAAGTATTGAGAACCTCTCTTGCCAATACACAAGAACAGGGAGCCGCCTCCCCTCCAAATAAAAATATATAAATAAAAAAGAAAAGAAAAATGAATAAAAAAAAAGAAAGAAAAGAAAACGAAGACACCATCAACATAACGAAAACCTAATTTTGTCCTGTCTGATCCTCCTGCTGATGCATAGTACCAAAGACAGACAAAGAACCCTAAAGCAAAAGGAGGACTTAGTCTTACAATGTAAGAGAACTAAAGTTCCCTAGTCTAGACAATGGTGGGTGTAGTTACTTTTACAATTAGCCGCCAATAGGTGGGGGTAGAGGGGAATACAATAAGTCCCCCTTATCACTTAGGGCCTCCAACCGCCGCTAATGGGTGGAGACTTAGTGGATTCCCCATTATCATTTAGGACCTCCAATCATTTATACACACACAACCATGTGATTTACTTAGGGTCTCAGGAAAGTGACTCATAATAAGAATCAGAAATAAAGTGAAATGTCTAAATATGAGACAAGGCTCCCTTGAAAATTGAGTATATATTTCCTACTTTTCTATGTCAAATTTTATATATATTGTGTATTAATATGGTTTTTGTATTTTATTGTACCCTATTGTATCAATGCAATGTTTTGTGGACCCAGGACATACTTGAAATGAGAGAAATCTCAAATGTATCTTTCCTGGTAAAATATTTTATAAATAAAGTTAGGGTATTCTCCTACTTAATGGTGTTGACAATGTCAATTGGTAATAAAGATAACCCTATTTGGATGTATTTTATGGAAACGGAGTGGGGTGGAATTTTTTTTTTTTAAATAAATAAAATTATAAGCAACATTGATTTTATTGTGTGACAGGGAGAGGAGGAAGGGAGAAAAATGCTTCCCCTTGAAGGCATTGCCTGCAAGGCAGAAGCTCTATACATCCGATGGCAGTGTGCTGACAAAGAACGCATTTTAAGTACATAATTTGAATTCCACAGTCCGGAACAGTGTTCCGGGCTGCCGAAGTCACGTATGACAGGGGTGTAACTAGGCCACGGCACACAAGTGCAGATTTCTCTACAGATTCCTACCACCATAACTACTACAAATCACTGAAGTGGTCATGGTGGTTGGAGTAACCGTTTAAATCCCCTTACTCTCTCCCTTGTTCATCACAAAACTCCCTCCCTGGCTCAGAGTGCATGCTTTAAAAGGACCACTATAGGCACCCAGACCACTTCAGCTTAATGAAGTGGTCTGGATGCCAGGTCCAGATAGGTTTAACCCTTTTTTCTATAAACATAGCAGTTTCAGAGAATGTTTATAATAGAGTTAATCCAGCCTCTAGTGGCTGTCTCATTGAATGCTTTCCTATGGACTGGCTGAATGCGCGCACGGCTCTTGCCACGCATGCGCATTCAGCTGAGGAGGAGTAGAGTCCCCCGCCCAGCGTTGGAGAAAGGTCAGTTTAACCCCTTCCACCCCCTAGAGCCTGGCGGGAGGGGGCACCCTCAGGGCACTATAGTGGTCCTTTAATGAAAAATGGTTGGAAAAACACTAAGTTTTTTTTGTTTTTTACTATGAGCATTAAAAGCAAAGCATTTTTTCCCATTTGTAAGCAATCTTACTAAAACTACTGTTTTGTGGATTTGCACTTCACAAGCAAATTAAAGTTAAAAAAAAATAATTCAAACTGCTTTACATAAATAAACATGTTATGGACTGATTTTTGCTTTTAATTTTTGGATTTTATAGATCTCGTTCAAGAAGTACAGGTGATCTGGCTGGTATATCAAATGTCTCCTGCGCATTTTGCTTGATAAAAGGCTAGATGCCTTAGGATTGTGACTTTTTATCCAACATCACATACTAGAAACATATCCAGTCTCTGCAATCTCATTCATTCTGTATAGTCATTATACCTAGCCATGGAAGATAGTGCTGAATACATTAATATCTCAAAGAAACTGATGACTACAATAAACAGTATCTTAACACATCTTTGTATGCTCCACAAATCTGTATGTTGTAAAATAAAATATGTTACCATGTCTGTGGGACTAGAGGAAAAAGCATTAAATCTCCTATTCCATGAAGTCACCCACCGATATTTTGTAATGCCAAAGCCTGAACTTTCACAAATGTTAAATTTCATACCCTATGACAACATAGGGTACACTGAAAGATCTTCAGAACATGTACTAATTAGTGGGTGTGCCTGCAGTTGCTGGGAGACAACTATAAGCCAGTACTACCAGAAGTGACTGTGCTCCGGGAACCCTCAGCATTATGCAGTTTGCAGTAATGAAAAGTGGTTATGCGCTTACTAACCCTTTAATGGGACACAATAGGCACCCAGACCACTTCATCTTTCATCTCATTGAAGTGGTCTAAGTGTAGTTTCACTGTCCTTTCCCCCCCCCCACCCCCCCTTTTTAGTCCTACAATGTAAAACAGGGCACTGTAGACAGCCACTAGAGACTGTCTTAGTACTGCAATGTAAACATTGCAGCCTCTCTAAAACCGCAGCAGTACCAAGACCATCTCTAGTGGTTGTCTAGCCACTAAAACGCACTTCTGGGAGTTTAGTGGACTAAATGAAGCTGATGTCCTCACGCTCTGAATGAAGACATCCAGCGCCCGTGAAATCCCCATAGGAAAGCATTAAAGGACCACTATAGTGCCAGGAAAACATACTCGGGCTGGATGGCAAGGAAAGGGGTTAAACTTCCCTTTTCTCCAGCGCCGGGCAGAGAGCTCTCCGCCTCCGATCCTCCTCTTCGGCTGAATGCGCATGCGCGGCAGGAGCTGTGCGCGCATTCAGCCAGTCTCATAGGAAAGCATTCATAATGCTTTCCTATGGACACTGGCGTCTTCTCACTGTGATTTTCAATGAGACAGCCACTAGAGGCTTTAGAGGGAGGGCCTAATGCACTTGCCACGCTCTAGGTCCCTCAGTCGGTTGACGTAGGAGGAGAGGGACAACAGCGCTGGAATTGGGTAACTGAACAAAGAGTTCTTAACCCTCCATGTAAGTAGACAATCAGTTTTAGAACGTTTGGAGCTGTACAGCTTACCTCACTGGCTGAGAGTGATCAGCTCACGTTCTTCCTGAATGAGCCGACCCTGTACTGCAGTGCCCAGCTCAGGAGAGTCAACAGAAGCTCTTATAGAGGACCTTCCGGCTCTGCAGAGAGGCAGGAAACGGCACCCGGCAGATCCCAGTTAAGAAGTCAAGAAGTCAAACGGTTCTAACACGGTTTGATTACTAGCAATGGTAGGGGAACATTGCCCTCACAGCACCATATATGGTTATTCCTTTAATTATAATTGATAACTACTTCTCTTCCAACTGTCATGGGTCAACTGTCAGCTTACTTTCCAACCGTCCTGGGTCAAGAACAAAGACAGACAGTTTAATGTCCCAGCAGATCTAGGGCCTTTTGGCGATATACAGTTCTCTGTCTTTTGCTGGCAATCCACCCATGTTCATCATTTTAAAATATGATGCAATGTACAGGGTAGCAGTGATTGCAATCTAACCCGATATTGTGCAGTTCTCTTAAATTTCTCCTGTAAGAAGAGCTACATTCATGGCCTAGCAGTACATTGATAAAACCCAAACACTATATTCAGGTAGGCAAGCCCTGGCAGGAGAAGTATCCCATACAAATACATTTTGCAAGACTAATGGGCCATAGCCTATAAACAGAAATCCAGAATACTTGCCAGCTACATCGCATTAGTTAAGCAATAAACACAAATAGGATCAATGCGATGGAGAGATTATGTTCCTACATCCGAGCTGGGAGGCAGAACTAATCTGTAATTGCTGTTAGTGCAGCATTGGGATGGCAAAAAAATAAATAAATAAATCAAAACATTATCTTAGCATTTCAGTTTGACAATAACTTGGCATGCAGAGTTATTTAAAACAATTTCAGATATTATCAGATATGCTATGATAAGATACCATTGATCGTGAAACTGTATTTTGCTGTGAACCAACACTTGTATAACTGAAATCCAAGACACTTCACATCATTTACAAATTACAGTGTACGGTGTTAGGAATGCCACAGGGGACGCAATCTATACTCTCTGCACAGATGTACAATAAAAGGAACACTAGGGCATCAAAACATCTTTAGCTTAATGAAGCAGTTTTAGTGTACTGATCATGTCCTTGCAGTCTCACTACTTTATTTTCTGCCATTTAGGAGTTAAATCACTTCTGTTTCTGTATATGAAGCCCGAGTAACACCTACTTTGGCTGTGACTGACACAGCCTGCATGAAAACAATATTGTTTCATTTCCAATCAGATGTAACTTCCTTTAAAAGTCTTCATCTTCTACTCTATAAATTGAACTTTTATTACATACAGGAGGCTCCTGCAGGGTTTAGCACACTTTTCAGAGAAAGAGATAAGAAATTCTAAATGTAATGGAATTTGCAATAATGGAAGTCTTTATTAGATGACTCTTTACAGGAAGTGTTTAGGAAGGCTGTGTACGTCACATGCAGAGAGGTGTGACTAGGGCTGCATAAACAAAGTAATTTCATTCCTAAAATGGAATAGAACTTAGCAATGAGACTGCAGGGGATTGCATGATCTATACACCAAAACTGTTTCATTAAAATAAAGTTGTTTTGGTGCCTACAGAGTCTATTTAACCTTCTAAGTGGCAGAAGGTATAAAGCCAATGTATCATTCCAATCTGGAACTGACAGAGTTAACTTTGTACATCCAATAAAAAGAAAGGATCTCAACTCATACTCTTGCCCCTCAGATGTTGATGAGAATCATGGGAGTTGTCATTCAGAAACATATTTTGGACCAGAGTTTGAAAAGCCTGCAAGCAGTCACCTAAAGTTTAACATATATTCACTTTTGATAAATGCATACTATGGTTTTAATATAAAAATCCCACTACTCTTTACCAAACCTAATGTCGCAAAAGGAGCATGCAAATTCCTAAAACCAAAAAATAAATAAAAAGGTTTTAGATGTTATTTTCTCCAAATCTGCTTTTGTAGGAAATATGTAATACATAATAATAATAATAAATGGGTTATTAATTGTGTACATATACCGATTACCCTTGCCTATTAACCCTGACCTTTCATGAACCCCATGCTCCTACAAATGTCCCCATTTTAAAAATGACTGAAAATGTATAGTAAAAATTTTTTTTCACCATTAAAATAGAACTTATTCAAATATCTGATTTTTTAAAAAGCAATCCACCACACTAATAAATATTGCATACACCACTAGAGCAATTTCAGCCAGCTCTCTACCGGTTTCATAAAAGTGAATATCACTTACTTCATCAATGGATCTAAACCTATAGTGAAAGCATCATGCACCTACAGCAGGGGTTGACCTACAAGGCTTACCAACCTGCGATATATTTTCATTTGACCTGCAGATGCCCTTCCCGAGTTAACGGAAGCAGTACTGGAATAGAGAGGCCCTAATGATACCTCGCTCTATTCCAGATTTCAGTGGCCTGGTCTGCAGCCCCCTTGGGCAGAATATCAGAAATATAAATGGTTAGACTTTTCCTGTATATCATTATCATCTCCTAGTTCACTTTTGCCCAACTTAAGTGTGTCCTCATTTTTCATTTTACAAAAAGTTCAGATTTTAACAGAAATTGGCACGATTCAAAAACAAACCGTTTTAAATAGTGCAATTTAGGGAGATATTAGATACTAAATACTAAAGTGCAAAACAGCATCTCCTTTTCTACGTACGTAAAACCTCTCAAAACCTTTTGGTTCTGCTATACCTTTATCCTTCCATAGCACCTGATGGATAGATTTTTTTTAAAACATACTGACAAAACCAGAGATTCAGGAAAATCATATTTCCCACATATAGGGTAAGGTTACCTTTATGAATAAGTATCCGAAAAACTGCGGTGTAGAAATTAACACAGCTTTACTCAAACAACTATTCCTATTTAGTGCTGTAATCCGGACTATAACAAGATAAAAGTCTCAAAGCCGTTTTGTTTTATGATGCCACAGAAGGTAAAAGCAAAGCCATTCAGTTCACTAATCCAGGTAATTTAAACCCTTGGGTAATGCCCAAATCATCCTTAGAACAATGAAAGTCTAGAAAGGTATGATATTGTGCCAATGGACTTTATTCATGACCTGCACCTACCCCTGTAAACCAATAAGTGTTTCTGGCTTCTACAATATACAGCTCTTTGTACATTGCGGGTTCTACATGTCAAACAGCAAGTGCAGCATAACCCTCAGGTCAAACAAAGTCTGAAGTGAGCTCTCACAAGACTCTGATTAGCATTAATCCTACACTATGCATTTATTTTGTAGTCACAGAAAATACCTAAGCCATGGGTCGTCAACCTGGTCCCTACCGCCTACTAGTGGGCGTTTCAGAATTGCAGGTGGGCGGTAGGGATTTCGGCGGCTAAATCCTCAGTTTGAGAGAGTGGGTGGCAGGGCCGGACTGGCCCAGGTGGGGCTGGGCTGACAGACCTAATGATCATTCTGATAAATCCTCCCCTCGGACTGTGCCAGCCTGTCAGTCCGAGGGGATTGAGGATGGAGGAGCTGGGGGCTGGTATGGCTGCCAGCGGCCGCAGGGAGACCTGTCAGTCTCCCTGCACAGTCTAAAATCATTTCAGTTGCATGCCCTGCCCCCAAATGGAAGCTCTGCCTCCCGGCCACAAGCTCCGCCCCCACGCACATTACTGGGAAGCTGCCCACCAGACCAAGAGGACACTGAAAGGTATTTACCTTTTTACAGCCCCCTACCCACCATTCAGATGCCCCCACCTCACAGCCCCCTACCCACTGTACATCAGCCTTACTTTTGTACATTGCCCTTAGGAAGGTAAAACGGGTAGCAACTGCAGACCTAAATCCAAGTAAGAGTTTACTATATTGGGGGGGGAGGTGCAAGATGGTGGTTTTAACACTATAGGATCAGGAATATAGGTTTGTGTTCGACACTATAGTGCTCCTTTAAAATATATTATTGCTCCATTTTGAAAACCAAAAAAAAAAAAAAAATCTTTCAGATAAAAGTTGCACAGACAATCATTAAATGAACACAGTATTCACTATAACAACTTCATTCATTTGAAGATGTTATAGTGTCTACAGTTGTCCCACCTTCATAGCGGCCCCAAATTACATTTAACTAATTAGAAGGCTTGGGAGTGCTGCTTCAGGATACGCCTACAATCCTAGCATATTGTGGCATCAAGCGCATATATCTAATTTTTAATCGGATCCATGCCTCTATGGACATTCCAAGTTTGGGTTTATTGCTCCTTCTATGGGAGTATTCCCGACCTTATAGTGTTAAAAACACTATTTAGCCTCCTGGCTCCCCCTTGACCTGATAAATATATAGAAAATTCGCCTTATTTCCACCCTATGGCCCTGTACTGGATCAGCCTCCTTGGCTGACATCAACAAAACTGAAACTCAGCCAATCAAATGCTTTCTTGCAGGAAAACATTGGAATGGCTAAGATCATCAATTATGTTGACCTCGGCCAAGGATGCGGGGTGAGTGGGCGGAGCCAAACACCTTGCTGGTCAACCAACATCTCCTCATAGAGATGCTTGGAATCCATCCAGACTACAAATGTTTTCACCCTTTCTTTCCCCCATCTTTGTACTTCCTATCCCCCTGTAGCGGCTACATTTTCATACTCCACAATTAAAAAATAAAACAAAAATATGATCCTGCTATTCTAATGTACACATTTTTTTATTTTTTTTTATTTTTTATTTGCAGGATTCAAAACACACCATACATAATGGGGAGCATCAATTTAGCCATTAAGATATTGCTCATAAATTTTCTCTTGTTCCCAAAACAAGAAATGTAATTTGAGTTTTTGGCAGCCATAAAAAGGTCAACTTTTTATTTCAACACTATAATCAACCACTGAGCCAACGAACGTCTAAAATAGTATCAGTGACTCAACCTCTTCAGAAAGGAGAAGAAGAAGAAAAAAAAAAAAAAACACAACCACCACTCCACTATAAGGATATATGTAGAAATGCACCTGGCTCCCTTAATGAATGATGTTTAAGGGGTTATCAGGACCAATCAACTGAGTCCTCTACGGATCATACAGCACCTTTGAAAAGCATAAATTACGTTGTTGCATCATAATTAATTATTAAACACAAAAAATTATTGTGACATCCTGGATCTTTTAAGAATGGAACTTTAAGGAAAATATATGCATCACAGTACAAAATTGCAATAATAAACCACAATGATGGAGAAGTATGTAATTGCTCTCATTGCACCATGTGGATACTGTGCAGCCTTCTCTTTATTGTGATTAGTTCGTCCAAAAAAAATCACTATAATCCTATGAAAAAAATAAATATGAGTTTTCAAACTATAATTCTATTAAAATAGAAAATATTTAAAAATTTTAAAATAAACATTTGTTTGAAGAAGGAAAAACAAATGAACTTTGGCTACAACAGATTGACAAAATAAAAAGTCAATGTTGTTAAAAATTACATAATTACTCCAGATGCATAAATGCTGTGTGTTTTGCTTTAGAAACAATCCTTATTTACTCCTACATTTTTAATAATGCCTACAAAAGTAAACTCATTAAAGGACCACTATAGCGCCAGGAAAACAAACTCCACCCTCAGGGCCCCCCTCCCGCTGGGCTGAAGGGGGAGGAAGGGATTAAGCTCTTACCTTTCTCCAGCGCCAGACTCCCTCAGCACTGGGGAACTCTTCTCCCTCTTCCAATGTCAGCGCTGAATGAGCGCGCGCAGCAAGAGCCACATTCCATCAGTCCATAGGAAAGCATTACTCAATGCTTCCCTTTGGACATCCAGCGTCTTCTCACTGTGATTTTCAGTGAGAAGCGTGCAAGCGCCTCTAGCGGCTGTCAAGGAGACCGTCACTCGATGCTGGATTAACCCTAATGTAAACATAGCAGTTTCATAGAAACTGCCATGTTTACAGCTGCAGGGTTAACCCTAGATGGACCTGACACCCAGCTCACTTCATTGAGCTAAATTTGTCTGGGTACCTATAGTTGTCCTTTGATATTTGGGAAAATTAATAAACTGATCAGAATATGGACATCAGGCAGATTGACCTAAAATATTCTTGGCGTCAATAACAAAGTATATTTTTAGAAAAAAAGATATTAAATTACAAAGAAATTGAACGATCCATTAAAGCAAGGGTGGGGAACCTTTTATCTGCCAAGGCCATTTGGATATTTAAAACAATCATTTGCAAGCCATACAAAATGATTAACTTAAAAATTAGCATGCTGTATTTGGTAAAAATTTAATTAACGCACTCCTAATGTGATGGCGGGACTGCTTCTCTCGGTTGTGATGTTTGCTGATATTGAGGACGTTGCTACTCGCAGCGTGTGTGTGAGTCAGAGGGGTACAGTGTGTGTGTGTGTGTGTGTTTGCGTGAGGAGGTGCAGTGTGTTTGTGTGAGCAATTCAGTGTGTGAGGGGTGCCATATGTGTGTGAGATGGTGTAGTGTGTGTCAGGGGTCTATATTGTGGTGTGGGGGGGAGGGATCAGGGAGAAAATTATATTATATATATTTTTTTATTATTATTTTTTTTCCCCCTCCATAAAAAAAAAAATTAAAAAAAAAAATATATATATATTCACCACCCCCTCCTTCTCACTTCTGAAGGAGAGTACATATCACTGCAAGCCCTGGTGGTTCAGTGGTTTCTCGTGCACCATAGCCTGCAGCTCCTTTGCAGGCAGACTGCACTATTTTCTTCCCCTGAGCACTGCGCTGTCAGAGCGTTGCCATGGTAACACCCTGCAACGCTACCGGGTCCTCCTCCTATCCAGCAGGCTCCCGGGTCCTAGCTATCTCCCCCCACTACCTTGAAAAAAATACCGGGAGACCGGTGAGGTAGATCTTTGATCTCTCCACCAGCCCGGGAAGGGCAGATGTTCCCCACCCCTGCATTAAAGGGACACAATAGGCACCCAGACCACTTCATGTCATTGAAGTGGTCTGGGTGCAGTGTACCTGTTCCCTTTGCCCTGCAATGTAAACATTGCAGTTTCATTGAACTGCAATGTTTACATTGCAGGGTTAAAAGGACACTATAGTCACCAGAATCACTACAGTTTAAAGGGACACTATAGTCACCAAAAAAACTTTAGCTTATGGGACTAGTTTTGGTGCATAGATCATGCCCCTGCAGTCTCAATTATCTGTCATTTAGGCGTTTAATCACTTTGTCTATATAATCCTAGGCACATCTTTCTGCATGTGACTTACACAAGCTTAATTACTAAACACTTCCTGTAAAAAAGAGTCAGCTAATGTTTACACTTCCTTTATTGCAAATTGTTTACTATTTATATTTTTACGATTTTTGCAGTTGAAGCATTAGAACACATGCAATAAAAAGTTTACATGCTTGGTTCATGATGGTTACATTCTCCTAACATTGTAGATACGTTACGATCACCTATATTTTTGTTATATTGGACTAGGTCGTATAAAAATAGAAAGCATGCCTCACACAACAGGTTCTTACGTCAGTATGTCATCTGGTGAACAGTGCCCGAGAGTGACTCGTAGTCGGATGTAAATAGCCAGTCAGGTTGTCCTAGGATGTGTACTGACCATGTAGTCGCAAAAACATACTATAAAACCATAGTAAAACATAGAAAACCAGTGAGGTAGGAACGGTTACCTAGTATTTCAACATGGTGGTCTAAAGACAGTGTGCTATGTCAAGGTGTAACCGAGTAAACTTGCAGAAGCCAGACACAGAGAGATGGATGCAGGTTTTCAGGAAGTAAGAGGTCTTTATTAACATACCGATCGGGTCTCAGATGAACTAACGTTCCAAGACAGGTCTGAGGGCCGAACACATGGAGTACATGCTTTTTATAGAACTATAATAGCTCCACCCGCACATACCCTTAACCAATCGGTGGACAGGATTTGGATTTCCTTCTATGGGCAGACCACTGTAATGATATTGACGTTACAAAGTTTTGGAATCCAGTTGTCAGATCAGCAATGTTTTCTGCCAGAGGTAGCCACTCGTTACCCAGGTGGTTGAGCCCCTGAGCCTTGAGTGGCCTTCTGGTCTTAAGCAGAGATGGGAGACTGGAACAGAAAGATGATAATCGTAGTGAGGCAAGCCGAGGTCAGTGGGAAGGAGAAGCAGCAAAGTCAAAACAGTCCAAATTCAGCAACAGGAAGGAGAAACAGGAACACGCTTGATTAGAGAGTACAGGAACCACAATAATCTGGCAAAGGTACAGAGACAGGAAGTGGCTTTTATAGGCCAAGAACCAGACACCTGACCAGACACAGCTGAAGAGAGTTGTCACTGATAACCTTGACTCTACAAGCAATGGTATCAGATCTCAGGTAAATTTGCAAAAGGCAGGCTGGTGTACTGTAAGGAAGAGGTTTAGCACAATGTAAACCAGGGTTCGAAACCCAGCAGAGTCAGTTCCTCACAACCACATGGCTCATCCGAAACAAAGGAGAAAGGAATGTGATTTCAGTTCCTGCACATGCTCAGTACATTCGTGACAGTATCTTAGCTACGTGTAACTAATTAACTGATACAACATACACATATACCACGTGGAAATCTCGGCCTACTATATTTACATTTCACCGAAATTCCATCACAAAGGCGCTTGGATACACCTTGGTTTGTGGAGGTCAGGCCCTTAACCAGTGGGGACCTCGAGGGCGGGAGTTGATATGAAATTCTAGCTGTCAGTGGGCTCTGATAGAACGGTCGCTTGTGTGTGTTTTATTTTAAGCACAGTCTTTTTCTGGAATTTCGAACAGGTGAAGAGCAGGAATTCAGAAGAGGGGAGATTAGATTAAAGAGGAGCAAGAGATAAACATGAATCGTGATATATTATGGCACGGCTTCTTGTCCGTTTCGTGGGGTGAAAGGGGTGATATTGTCCATATCCCATGTGCTCTAGGTGGCTTGAGCCCTCCGCTCTCGTGGTTTGTCTCCTATTCCAATCGCTGCCAAGAAGGTGGTGGCCTCCACCACGTCAGTGGCTTTAGTTTGCTTGCCTTCTTTGGTGACCATAAGGGATCTAGGAGTATTCCATCTTTATGGTATTCCTGCCACCTGAAGCTGTTGTGTGATGGGTTTCAACCTTTTTCCTCCATAAAAAAGTGGAGCGGTGTAGGTCTTGGAAAAAAAAAGAAAAAAAACAATTTGAGATCTTGAGAGACTCAAAGTCTATATGTGACTTATTTTGAGCATCTCTCAAAGTTTGTTTGTCTCATCTTGTCCTGCAGCGTAGAATTATGTCCTTTGGGGCTGTGAGCGGTGCCTTATGAAATTTGGCGACACGGTAAGCTCATTTTGTGTCATTTGTGAATTGCTTGGCTTGGGGTAATGAAGTCTACAGTCGCCTATTGAAGTACAGTAGCTTTTCCGTAGTCACGGTGTCTGAGACACCCCTGATCTTTAAGTTTTTCTAGCAGGATCTTTCATCCAGTGCATCTATTCTCAGCGACAAGGCGGAGTGGTGCGCCTGTAGCTTTTTGACTGAGTCCCCCACTGCTGTGAGGTGGTGTTGCAGGTCGGCTATGTCATTTTTCTGAGGTCTAGACGCGGTTGGTGACCGCCTGTACTTCAGTCCACACCGCGGCTATGTCGGCTGGAAACAGCTGATGTATTTTTTAAAAAGAGATCATCAATGTCCTGTTTTGTTGCAGGTACTAGGCTGGCTAGGGTATTTGCCGTTTGGTGTCCTGCTGTGGGTGTCCTCATTCATCCCTCCCTTCTCCTGAGGGTTGTAGGCCTCAGACTATCTGCACCAGCTCCCCGTACATGGGTGTGTGTTGGAACAACGTGCCAATATCCTGTGTTTCCTGGGGTATGTGCACCTGAGATTTTTGGGTTCTCTTACCCATCTCCTCCTGCTCTTGGGACAGTAAACTCTGTTTAATTTAGAATACCTTCTCTCCTGCTCTGTTAATAGCTTTCTAGACCATGAGAGCCTCCTGTATATCATTAAAGTTCAGTTTACAGGGCAGTAGATAAAAACTTTTAAAGTAAGTTACATTTGATTGATAATGAAACCATTTTGTTTTCATGCAGTCACAGCCAGGAGAGGTATGGCTTGGGCTGCATAAACAAAAACGTGATTTAATGTCTAAATGGCAGGGAATTAAGCAGAGAGACATCAGAGTCATGATCTATACACTAAAATTATTTTGGTGACTAAAGTGTCCCTTTAATGTAGTAGTTTTGGTGGCTACAGCATGTCCCTGCAGGCTGAACACTGCAATCTCTGCCTTATCAGCAAAATGACAGGGTTTACATTGCAGATTAGGAACACCTCTAGTGGCAGTCAACTGATGGCAATTAGAGGTGCTTCCTAATCCAGTGATCCACACTGTGCAGTATCTCCACTTTGGAAAAAAGAGCAATAAAAAAAAAAAAAAACACCTTTCCCATGCGATCTAAGAGGGCCCATCTAATTAACACTATAGTGTTCCTTTAAGACTGCCTCTAGTGGCTGCTACTAGAAGCACTTTCTAGCCTTTTACTGAGTTTAACTCTGTGAAACAACACTGGACATCCTCACGCTTTGCATGAGAACATACAGTGTCTTCCAATCCCCCACAGGAAAGCACAGATTCAATTATTTAGTATGAGGAAGGCCTAATACGCGGGTGGCCCTTGCCACTCATGTATATTAGGTTCTCCCCATTGCCAACATTGGAGGAGGTGGCCTCAGCGCTGGAAAGAGATAAGTGTTTAAAGTGTTATTTAACCCTTTCAACACCGGAGATGGGCAGACAACTTTAGGGCAGAGGAACATTATAGCATTTGTATTCCTAACACTATAATGTTTGTTTAATGACATTTTAGAACCTGTATAGTTCCCAAGACCAACTTTCTTCAATATAGATCTCAATGTGTTAGTCTTGCTCTGAAGACCAAAACATTCTCATTAGCAGCATCAGCAGGAAGATCAAAATCAGATGACTAATTTTGATTGTATGAAAAAATGCCTTTTACTGCAAATGGACGATTGTATATTGGGTTATTAAAGGATCACTAAAGTGTCAGGAAAACAAAGTGGTTTTCCTGACACTATAGTGCCCTGGTTAAAACCCCTTCAGCAGCTTACCTTATTCCAGCGCCGCGCTCCCCCGCCGTCATCAGCTCGCTCTGCCGACGTCAGCGGAGCCGATTACGCATGTGCGCATTCAAGCTTCATGCGGTCAATAGGAAAGCATTTCTCAATGCTTTCCTATGGACGCTATGCGCGATGGAGGCATAATATGCTTCCAGCATCGCAGATGCACCTCTAGTGGCTGTCCAGAAGACAGCCACTAGAGGCTGGCTTAACCCTGCAATGTAAAGTTTGCATCTGCAGGGTTTAAACCTGAGGGACCTGGCACCCAGACCACTTCATTGAGCTGAAGTGGTCTGGGTGACTATATTGTCCCTTTAAACTGAAACTTGTACTTGTCCCACAGTCTGACAGAATGGGTTATTTTTGTGAAAGTCAATTACAGGATGAGGTTTTCCAAAGGAAGTAAACATTTGTGTCAATATGAAATTTTATTTCTTGTGTTTCTCTAAAAACAGGATGCAATCTTGTGCAGCAAAACTGAACTAACTGAATGGCACTTGTTTCCTTGAGCTGGGACAGCTATATGGATCCCCGGTCTATTTCATGGGGCCCTCATATGTGCCTTCCTCCATTCCCTAATTATATGCCTCCACTTACTTATGTACTCACCGCCATATACCAGTTTACTTTTATTTTCTCTTTATTTAATTTAGCACAATATCTATATACTCAGCTGATATTTTAACAATTGTTAGCAAAAAAAAAAAAAAACACTTCTCACATTGTATGTTGTAATGTATGCAAAATTTGACCATCATAATATCTATGAGAATGTGATATTGTATTGGGATTTTTCTTGAGAGATGTGAGAATAAACATTAAAATAAAAAAAGTCACAGCTTTATAATATCAAATGTTAGAGAGCCTCAGTTTGTAAATGTGTTACTGGCGGATCCACTCAGTTTTATTAAATTTAAAACCTGTTTTTACAGGTGGGCAAGTAAGGTTGAACTTTTAATATCATAAAAGATTACAAGCTTGTTAACCCACCCCTCCACAAAAAACCACACACTAGAAACTGCCAAATGTACACTTTGTAAAAACCTAATAAAACCCATTTATAAGCATTAGTTTAGATACAAAGAGCCATTATTAAAATTTCAAACAGATTTCATTAATGTGTGTCATGTTCTCTAGTAACATGAGTGCAAGACAACACTGTGAAAGGAAAGCCATCATGCATGAAAGAAAAATGAAGCAATCCATATATTCACCCTTCTAATTTAGCAACAGCCATATTTATGTTTTAAGATTCTGTGATGCCAATAACAAGTGCAATGCACAGCCAATTTACAAGAGCCCAGGGGTTGTGTCCAGGTGCCAGGTTCCTTGATTATTTGTTCAAGAAGTCGGCAGCTTTCCTCCACTGTAATATGGTTCAGCTGGGTGGAAAAGACGAACTGATCCTCTAACTAGGCTGCACTAAAGAGTTGCAAGCCAGAAGAGATCCATGCCTCTTATCTCTTGCATATAAATTAGACGAGACTGTAGGTCAATGCATATTGCACCTTAAATAATGGATTTTATACATCTTCTAGAGACACAATACTTAATGTTACACAACCAGAGGTGGCTCTCTAATTAGGCGATTTAGGCGGCCGCCTAAGGCCTCACGCTTGCTGGGGCCTCGCGGCTGCCTAAATCGCCTTAGGGCAGACTGAACTGTCGGGTCCTCGGTCAATGACCGAGGACCCGACAGTGAGAGGTGGCCCGGCGGCTTGCCCAGTATGCCGCCGGGTGGCCCCTCCACACGGTCTGCCCACAGGGAGAGCCAGCCTCTGATCTGCAGCTCTGCCGAGTGCAGAGCTGCAGATCACATAATGTGGTTCTCGCGGGCTTACAGAGCGTTGCAGCGGGTTACCACGGCAACGCTCTGACAGGCGCTTGCGAGAACAAGGTCTGCAGCTCTCGCGGAGCTGCAGACGGAAGTCATCCCACCGGACCACCAGGGACTGCTGCCACTGGACCACCAGGGACTTCTATTACAAAACAGAGTATTTTAGTGTGTGGAGGCTTGTCACAGCCTCCACACACACTGTCCCCAACACTGCCCACCCACCCTCACTGCCCCCAACACTGCCTCCCACCCCTCACTGCCCTCCCACCCTCACTGCCCCAACACTGCCCTCCCACCCTCACTGCCCCCAACACTGCCCTCCCACCCTCACTGCCCCAACACTCCCCAACACTGCCCTCCCACCCTCACTGCCCCACACTGCCCTCCCACCCTCACTGTCCCCACTGTCCCCACTGCACTGCCCTCCCACCCTCACTGCCCCAACACTGCCTCCCACACTCACACTCCCCAACACTTGCCCTCCCACACACTTTGCCCTCCCACTACACTCCCCACACTTGCCCTCCCACTCACACTGCCCCAACATTGCCCTCCCACCCCCACTGTCCACCCACATACACTGCACTGCCTCCCACATACCCTGCCAGGGACGTATTAGCCGAGAGGCAAACAAGGCATTTGCCTTGGGTGGCATTTTTCAGGGGGCAAAAAAAAATAATAAAAAAATAAAATAAAATAAATAAATAAAAAAATAAAAAATAAAATAAAAAAATTGCTGGCTGATGGTCCGGCGGACGGCTGGCGAGGGAGCACTTCCTCTGAGCGGTCTGCTCAGCTCCCTCGCGCGCTGCAGAGTGAGGCTTGGAGCCGGAATATGACATCATCAACCCGGCCAGTAGCCCGCCCAAAAGCCACTGGACCCCCAGGGAGATAGAGAACCCCCCAGCATTCCCAAAGGTAAGGGGGTGCTAAATAATAAAAAAGTGTTAATGTGAGTGATTGTGTGTGTGTGTCTGACTGTGTGTCTGTCTGACTGTGTGTGTGTGTGTCTCTGTCTGACTGTGTGTGTGTGTGTGTGTGTGTGTGTGTCTGACTGACTGTGTGTCTGACTGTGTGTGTGTGTGTGTGTGTGTGTGTGTGTGTGTCTGACAGTGTGTTAGACAATTTAGAAGGTGGGTTGGCTTGAGTTTCTGTCCTGCCTAGGGCAGCACAAAACCAGGATACACCACTGTGCCCTCACCCACATACCCTGCCCCCACACTGCCCTGCCAGTCACATATACTGCCCCCCACACGGATGACCACCACATACACTACCCCCCACACTGACTACCACATACACTGCCCCTATATATCCTTCCCCCTCTCTGACCACCACATACACTGCCCCCACACTAACCACCACATACACTGCCCCCCACACTAACCATCACACTGACCACCATAGACACTGTCCCACACATTGACCACCACATACCCTGCCCCACACACTCTGCCCCCACACAGTTTCTCACACTAAATTCCCACTGTCACACACCCTGCTCCACCACACACTCTGCCACCCACACGGTCACACACCCTGCCCTCCTACACTGTCATACACCCTGTCCCCTCTACACTGTGTCCCACACACGTTGCCCCCCCACACTGTAACACACCCTGTCCCCCCACACTGTCACCCCACACTGTCATCTTCCTCCTCACTGTCACCCACTCACACCCTGCCCCCAAAACTGTCACATTCCTCCACACTGCTCTCTCACCCTGTTACCCTTTCACACACGCACCCCATATTGTCAGCCCCCAACATTGTCACCAATACATACAGTGGTACACATACACCCCTCCCACACACTGCCCCTGCACACACTGTCACCCTTTCCAACGTCACAATTCCACACACATGCAGCCACCACCCACACTGTCACCCCCCCACATGCTGTCATGCCCCCTTCACCCAGCCTTGCTCACATTAACCTCTCCTAATCTTGTCGCTCTCACCCTCTCCATCCATACCACAATTACCGGCCCTTGCTCTTCTACACTTACCCTATCACATTAATCCAACTAATCCTATCACACTCATTTTCTCTCATACTGTCACACTCACCCCCAACCCTGTCACACTCATCCTTTTTCACATTAACCCTTTCACTCATGCCCAACCATGCCACACTCACCATGTCACATAATCCTATCCGGCTCACTTTCCCTCGCCTTGTCAAACTCCCTCCTCCAGCCGTGTAACACATAAACCATAACCCTGTCAAACTCATCCCCCTTCACCCTATCACATTAACTTCTATCCTGTCACTCATCCTGCCAAGCCACGCCACACTCACACTGTCACATAACCCTTCCTCATCCTGTCACTCTCACCTCCCCTCGCCCTGTCACACTTTCTCCTTCAACCGTGCCACACTCACCCCAACAGTGAATACAGAGACTAGCTCTCTGTATCCAGCGCTGCAAGCCTGTCATTCAATATAACTACAGCTCATTATACACATGATGCAACCCCTATATGTTTTTTTTTACTATGAGTGTTAGTGGGGGGGCCTCTTGTTTGAGTTTCGCCTAAGGCCTCATAAAGTCTAGAGCCGCCACTGTACACAACCTCAACATAGCCGCCTGTGGGCAGGGAGACAAGGTAAAAATATTTGTTCCATTATGCCAAGAGACGAGAAACTTTAAAATGATGAGTCTTTCTTGGCGTACAGCTATTGTTACATGCCATAATACCCAAGAAGATAGATACATTATATATATATATATATATATATATATATATATATATATATATATATATATATATATATATATATATATATATATATATATATATATATATACACACACACACACACACACACATATATATATACACATATACATACACACACACACACACACACACACTAAAATGTTCTCTATTAACTCTGGATATTGGATATGTCTCACTGACAGCCGCTAGAGGCGCTTCTGCGCTTCTCACTGTGAAAATCACAGTGAGAAGATGCTGGACGTCCATAGGAAAGCATTGAGTAATGCTTTCCTATTGGCGGTTTAAATGCGCCCGCGGCTCTTGCCACGCATGCGGCACTGACGTCGGCAGAGGGAGGAGAGTTCCTCAGCGCCGCGTTTTAACCCCTTCAGCCCAGCGGGAGTGGGATCCTGAGGGTGGGGGGACCTAAAGACCCTGTAGTGCCAGGAAAACTAGTTTGTTTTCCTGGCACTATAGTGGTCCTTTAATGCTGCAATGTTAAAGGATCATTATAGGCTCCCAGACCGCTTCAGCTCAATGAAGTGGTCTGGGTGCCAAGTCCCTCTAGTTTTAACCCTGCAGCTGAAAACAGTTTCAAACTGCTATGTTTCACTGAGGGTTAATCCAGCCTCTACACTCTGTTCCAAATTATTATGCAAATTCTATTTAAGTGTCACAAAGATTAAATATTTTGTTTTTCAGTTTAACTCATGGATGGCATTGTGTCTCAGGAATCTTTTGATCACTGAAAACAATCTCGGACACCTGTGATAATTAGATTGCCAGGTGAGCCCAATTTAAGGAAAAAACTACTAAAGGAGGATGTTCCACATTATTAAGCAGAGCACCATTTTCATGCAATATGGGGAAGAAAAAGGATCTCTCTGCTGCCGAAAAGAGTGAAATAGTTTAATGCCTTGGACGAGGCATGAAAACATTAGATATTTCACGAAAACTTAAGCGTGATCATCGCACTATTAAGAGATTTGTGGCGGATTCAGAGCACAGACGGGTTTGTGCAGATAAAGACACATTGAGGAAGATTTCTGCCAGATCCATGCATCGGATAAAGAGAGCAGCTGCTAAAATACCATTACATAGAAGCAAACAGATATTTGAAGCTGCTGGTGCCTCTGGAGTCCCACGGACATCAAGGTGTAGAGTCCTCCAGAGTCTTGCAACTGTGCATAAACCTATTCGGCCACCACTAACCAATGCTCACAAGCAGAAACAGCTGCATTGGGCATAAAAAATACATGAAGACTAATTTTCAAACAGTCCTGTTCACTGATGAGTGCCGTGCAACCCTGGATGGTCCAGATGGATGGAGTAGTGGATGGTTGGTGGACAGCCACCCTGTTCCACCTAGGCTGCGACGTCAGCAAGGCGGTGGTAGAGTCATGTTTTGGGCCGGAATGATGGGAAGAGAGCTGGTCGGCCCCTTTAGGGTCACCAAAGGTGTAAAAATGACCTCTGCAAAGTATGTGGAGTTTCTGACTGACCACTTTCTTCCCTGGTAGAGAAGCAAGAACTATGCTTTCAGTAATAAAATCATCTTCATGCATGACAATGCACCATCTCATGCTGCAAAGAATTCCTCTGCATCAATGGCTGCTATGGGGATAAAAGGAAAGAAAGTCATGGTGTGGCCTCAATCCTCTTGAGAACCTTTGGAGCATCCTCAAGCAAAAGATCTATGAGGGTGGGAGGCAGTTTACATCCAAACAGCAGCTCTGGGAGGCTATTCTGACATCTTGCAAACAAATTCAAGCAGAAACTGTCCCAAAACTCACAAGTTCAATGGATGCAAGACTTGTGAAGCTGCTATCAAATAAGCGGTCCTATGTTTAAATGTAACGTGAACTGTTAAAATGTTTAAAAAGTTAAAATGTTGTTATAAGTTTGATTGAAATAGCTTTTGATTTCAGTAAATATGCTGCAAACACAACAAATGACAATTTTCAGTTCTTTACAACCTATAAAGTGTTTTGAAACTTACTGTGCGTAATAATTTGGAACAGTGCATTGTAAGTTTTTTATGTTTAAAAAAATACTGTTATCATTAGGAGGTTTGTTCAATAAAATTTGAATTGTACTCTTAATAGTTGATAACATGTGAATTATGCTGACTGTTATTTACATCAATTATTTAGATAAATGAGAAAAATATAATTTGCATAATTTGGAACAGGGTGTAGTGGCTGTCTCACTGACAACTGCTAGAGGCGCTTCCGTGATAAGACGCTGGACGTCCATAGGAAAGCATTGAGTAATGCTTTCCTATGGGCAGTTTGAATGAGAGCGGCTCTTGCCGCACATGCGCATTCTGAGCTGACATTCGCAAGGGGAGAAGAGTTAGCCAGCACCGAGGGAGCCCAGGGCTGGTGAAAGGTAAGTGGCTGAAGGGGTTTTAACCGCTTCAGCCCAGCGGGAGGGGGGCCCTAATGACTATATAGTGCCAGGAAAACAAGTGTTCTTGGCACTATAGTGGTCCTTTAAACATTTAAGTTTCAGAGAAGCTACAGTGCCAGAAATATAGCTTTGTATTCTTGGCACTATAGTATCCCTTTAAGAACTTGGTGTATGCAATGGTTTACAAGACATTATTCACTGTTTAACTTTCTATTTGTTTTGGGGAAATTAACACCAGTTACAAACATATTGTTAAAGGGACACTATAGTCACCAGAACAACTGCAGCTTAATGTAGTTGGTCTGGTGAGCCTAGTCAGTCCCTTCAGGCTTTTTTATGCTTTTCAAGGCATAGGAACTTTGCTAGTTACAGTGTACAGCACTCACAAATCTGTGTCTCCACACTGCTTGGTGCTGAACATTCCCTATAGAGATGCAATGATTTAATGCATCTCGAATGAGGAGCTGCTGTTTGGTGCAGCGTTTTGCCATGCATGCACAATAGCTTCCCAATGTTTCCTATGGGAAAGCACTGAATTGGCTTACATCAGTTTTGATGTACTCAACTAAAGATGTGAAGCAAGGCAGGGCAGAGAGACCAGAATGGTATGGGAGAAAAAGGGGTGTAAAATCACTTTTTGAAAGCGAGGCAAGTGGGGCCGGTAAGCTAAACCGTGATTTTACCACCTCGCTGACGAGACCCAAAGAATGCATAAACAATCATGCAGAGTTGCTGAATCTCTCATGCAGAGAGTACTTGCCAGCACTTCGGTTTTGGACTGCCCTTATAGGTGGGATCAGTCTGATATGAAATATGTTTATGGATTGCAGGATAAAACTTACCGGGAAAGGTTAAAAGGATCTTAACATGTATAGCTTGGATGAAAGACGAGGCGGGGGATATGATAGAAACATTTAAATATATAAAGGCAATCAACACAGTAAAGAAAAACTACCACAACAAGGGGGCAAAAAATTAGAGGGGCAAAGGTTTGAAAATATCAGGAAGTTTTACTTTACTGAGATGGTAGAGGATTCATGGAATAGCCTTCCAGCTGAAGTGGTAGTGGTTAACACAGTGAAGGCGTTTAAGAATGCGTGGCATAGGCATAAGGCTATGCTAGACTTAAAATAAGATATGTTTCTATGTTCTCTCTGTAATGGCACAAGTGAGCAAAAACTATTTTGAGACCTGAGCGGAGATTTACCAAATGGCAAGAAATTGAGTTTCTCTAAATTTTTGTCCATTCTCATATTCTTGGTTTTTGTTGCAATGCATTAAAGGTAATACAGATGTGGACCCCATGTCTAAAAGGAGTATCAGCTGCACCTTGCTGAAGATGCCCAAAGACGGTTGCTGCATCTCGGATGTAAAGTTGCTAGCATTTCGGTTCTGGACTCTGACATGCAATGGAAATGGAATGGGTATGCTCTGTAATAACACAAGTGAGCAAAAACTATTTTTAGACCTGAGCGGGTATTTACCAAAGTGCAAGCTATTGAGTTTCTCAAAAGTTTTGTCCATTCTCTGAGATTTTACCATTATAGTGTCAGGAATAAGTTTGTGTTCCTGACACCAGTGTTCCTTTACAAGGGACACTGTATCATTGTATCTGCTTCATCTAATTAATCTGGTTATAGTGTCTGGAGTCCCCTGTTGCCATCATTTCATTCAGCATTAACCCCTTAAGGACCAAACTTCTGGAATAAAAGGGAATCATGACATGTCACATATCATGTGTCCTTAAGGGGTTAAACAGTTTTTATGTTTTAATACTAAACAAGAGTCCCTAGCAGCCCATTCCCTTTTTGCTGCTTTGGCAAATGAGTATTAGATAGCAGTGATTGGCTAAGAGTGTCAGCTGACTACTTTTAGCCCATCAGAACCATTGACGGTTTGAATGGGTGTGACTACAAGGAAGTGTGTAATCTCTGGCTTAGCCACACCTCCAGAAGGGGCCTGACTGTGGGTAGCCTGGGACTCTTATTTAGTGTTAAACTGCTTGAACATGGTTTAACATGTACCAGCACAGTAAGCACTCTTCGCTTAGCACACACACACACAATACAAAAATCACACACCTTTTTTGTCCTAGATTCAATGGATTTTCCAGATCTATAATTTCTGAACAATATATGACATTAACAGCAAATTTTGTAATTGTCATGGTCTTGTTCTGTTCACCTTCCTGAATCACAGTCAAAATTCTTTGTTAGACCTGTATTTCTAGAATTTATTTAATGTTTACTAGAGTCAAGGATACAGCTATGTAAACAAAGAGGAGAAATAAAATACAATTTACTTTACACTGGTTTTTATTCCACTAATACAAAAGCCTTGGTATTTACAAGAAATTAAAAGTAACCGTTTCAAAATATAAATATTTACCGCATCAGAAAGCGCCAAGAGGTTACATGCAGTGCATATTTGTGCTGCCCAAAGTTTTTTTGTTAAAATATGAACTGTTTGCAAAAAATATACCATGATCGGAGCAGGGAAAAATATACTATGACAGGTTTTCATTAAAGAAGGATTATCAGGAATTCAAAATGAATTTCAAATGTAAAGGAATACTCTAAGTACCATAACCACTGGAGCACACTGTAATTGTTATCGTGCCAGAAGTGTCCTGGCTCCCACAATGTACCTAGTCAAAATGGTTTAAACTTCTTGCATGGGGTCTGCCAGTCACCGCCCCCTGCCTCTTCTCTACAAAAAATATAGTAAGCGCTCTACTTTAGTTGGTAACGTAGTGTTACGTGCACCAACTAAAAACAGTGTGCTAAAAGTGGGAGGAAATCTTGTTACCACATCAAGATCATATACAGAAATAGCTAAAGCACAGCAATTTATGCCAAAGAAAAATTTCTTTACTAGATATATTAGATATACCAAACCGTTAGCATACAATTCAAAGTGCCAAGTGCAGAGTAAGCAAGTATATACACAGAATACCTATATTAATAAAGTGCAGGGCCGATCCTAGGGTCACAGGCGCCTGGGTGCAGACATTTTTTGGTGCCCCCAGCTGGGCGTGGTCATCTTTCAAACACCTCCCCTTTGGAACGACTCCACCTCTCCATCTAGACACACACTCACTGATTTGTCACACACTGAAAAACATACTCAGCCAGAAACATTTACACACACACACTCAATGACAGATATACAATCTCATGGATTTGAAACAAACACAAATGCTGCCAGACTTAGTGATACACAAAACAAGAAAGTCCAGCACTCAGCATTTTAAATCACAACATACATAATCACACAATTACACACACACAGCCCCATGCATACCTAGACTGTCACACACAATACACGCACATTCACACTGTCATATGGTCACTGTACACACACCCTCAGTGTCACATACACACAGTCCTGGCTGTGATGAGCATCGTGAGGAGGAAAGGAGACCAGAGTCCCTAGTGTGAGGCAGGTATTGCTTCCTGCTTCCCCTCTGTGCAGGTGACGCCCTCTTAAACAATTATTTCTATAAACTCATTTGTATAAATATGCAAAGCTGTAAAATAGGTTTCCTTATTTCAGTTTGCTGTATATGTACAGTGATGTATGCATCCCATACACATAAATATAAATCCACAGATCATATCTCATAACGTATATACATAGACATGTGCACATTCACATACATATACAGACATACACTGTCACATACTGGGTTATTTACAAAAATTAGAATGGTCAGGAATTTATAGTGGATTTCACAGTGGATGACAGAATAGTCAAACTGGAAGCATTGTATGCCTGACAATTGTTTTAGTGAATAACCTTGTCAGACATGAATTAACACACACCATCACAGACACATCATCATGGACACAGACACACCAAAACACAGTCACAGACACACACATTAAGACGATTACAAACATTCATAAAAAAACAGAGGCACATACATTAAAAGACACACAAAGTCCCATTCATAGATACACAACACACTCAGTCACATAGTTAATTGAATTGGTGTTCAGGTGTGTTATGTGACAGGGTAGGTGGACCACCAGGGAATCGTTTAAATTTAATATGCGGTGTCCCCAACTTGCGAGCTGTGTTGGCTGCCAGGCGCCTCTATTGTCATGGCACCCTGCATAACCACACAGCTTGCACACCCCAAAGGCTGGTCCCGCTGACGCACTCACTCAATGACACACACACAAACCCTGACAAACACCCACTTACTTGACAGGAACCCTTGCTGACAGACACACACAAACACATACTCACACATACTTCCTGATGTACACACACTGACTGACACATTTACTGACAAACACACACACTTACACAGTCTTGCACACACACACACACTGACAAATTGTATTGCTTGTTGCTCCTACCTTTAGGAGTCTTCTGGGTACTCTCGCCGGGGTCCAGTGACTTTCATGATCTTCCTGCTCCTCTCTCACACACCGGTGATGCGGGCCGGAATTACATCATAGTCCGGCTTCCGGTATCACCACAGAGGGCGCGCAATCGAGCAGGAAGAGCATCAGCACACGCAGTGCTCCCTCGCCGCCGCCTGCCTCCTTCCTCAGCTGGCCGGTATATTGCTGCAGAGTAGGTGCCTACTCTGCCTTGCTACATAACTAACATTCTGGGGGCGCCCTTAGGTGGCCAGCTGCCGGGCTCCCCGTGATAGGCCATCGGCCGATCTGCGCTGCGCCCCCACCTCCTGGTGCCTGGGCGCAGTGCACCCGCCCAGGATCGGCCCTGATAAAGTGCAGTAAGGTTCCTCATTAAAATGTGTAAAAACACATATACTGGCCTAGGGCTGAAGACCAATAAGATCCCGTGGACAAAGGCAGTAGCCAAAACATTGGAGAAGCTTGGTCTCCAGCCCTAGATCAGTATATGTTTTTACACATTTAATGAGTAACCTAACTGCACTTTATTAATATAGGTATTAGGTATATAGATTTGCTTACTCTCAGTGGCCTCACAAGAGGGGTGCGGACCGCCCCAGGGTGCATCATTGGGGAGGGTGAGTGAGATGACACCAGGGCCGGCCTTTGGGGTGTGCGAGCACAGGGCACTATGGCAACAGGGGCACCAGGCAGCCGACAGCTCACAGTCAGTCACTCACAGACAGGCCCGAGTTATAGGTCTGCAGTGCAGAGCAAGTTAAGTGCACTTGACTTGCGAATGGTGATGGTAGAGCCGCGGCCGGGAATCCACATGGGTGATGCAGAGGTCCTGTGCGTGTAGGAGGAGCATGGGGGCGCAACATGGACGTGCTCCGCCTTCTCAGGGAGCCGCAAAATAATTCACTCTCAGCCCACAACTCCTGGCCATATGGTAACTGGGGTCTGCATCTCTGCTAAACTGAGAGTAACAGTTTACCACTCAAGAGGGACGTAGCAATTATAGACTCCAAGCACCATAATAACATCAAGCAGTTGAAGTGTGTATGAGGGCAGCGCAGCCGGTTCTCTTAAGTCTGCGACTCGGTGGCGTGGGAAACGGACAGCTGGATCCAGGGAGCAGCAGCCTTTAATGTGAGTGCTTGATTTTATTGCTTTGTTTTGTTTACTAAATAGTTTGTGTTTTATTGAAGGGGGGCTGGGGATTTGATGAATGGGATGTCGGGGGATTTGATGAAGAGGTGGCCATGGATTTGATGAGAGGGGGCAGGGGTTTGTGAATGAACTGCCTCCTAACAGACGGCAAATGTGGGGTGGGGGCGCCACGAGATTGGCTTGCACAAGGCACCTGAACACCTAAGACCGGTCCTGGGTGACACCACCGACACCAGCCAGGCAGGATCTTTAGTTGGTAAACTCTAACCTGGCTGAGACCTGCGATGGTGTCACCTCTGGATCGGATGCATCATGCCGCTGTGACCACAGCTTCAATTCTATTTAAAAAAAAAAAAAAAACACACACACATTATTAAGGGGGTTGGGTGACACCGTTTGTTACTGCACCGTGTGACACCATCCCTAGTGATGACACTGCTTACTCTGCACTTTGAATTATATGCCAATTGCTTGGTATATTGAATGTATCTAACATCTTTGGCATAAATTGATGTGCTGTGGGTTTTTGCTGCTTCTTTTCTTATTGTTGCCAGACACTGGTCCCCGCGTCTCCTCTAATGGTCTGTGCCATTACAGGTCTTGCACAAGGACATATACTGGTAAGGTGGCTGAACAGAATTCGAACACAGCCAATATATAACTTATCTAAAATCAAGTGGTGAACCACACTAAGACATTCAGTACTTATGATCTCCAACCAATGCAATGATTCTCTTAAAGAGGCTTGGAGTGTAACCATAATATACATTAGAGTTGCACAGGTTTCTGAAGTGTGTGCTTAAACTGAAGTATTGTTTTTTGCAGTAAGGGTCTTAAAAGGGAAATATCACAATTAAACCCTTCAAACCCATGTATGTCACGGTCAATAAAACAGCTAGTGACAAGTAAAGTAAAGAGTGAAAGATCCGAATAAATCCCCTCTCCCAAAGATCATGTCTCGCCAAACTTCTCAATACTCAAACAGTTTAGAAATCGCAAAACCTGATTAACAAAAAAAAAAAAAAGAAAATCGCACCCCCTACGAAGGGATCAGTTTACCATGGAACCACATTGCAGTGTTTAGATGCCAAAAGCCATAGAGAAATCATTAGTGGGAACATGGAGCAAACATGAGATATCCATCAACAGCTTTCCAAATGCTAACCTGGCATCAGAATCCAGTGACAGGCTAACATGGTATTTTTGTGCCTATGAGCCCATTCTGCAGGCAGTCTGTGCCTGGTACTTGCCATGATCAGAGTGTGCCAGGCTATTTCTGGACAGCTTCGCAATGAAGTATTCCAGAAATAATGGCAGAGTGATTAATATTGGAGCCAGTCACCTAATTATATGCCTTCGTTATAAACTAAGGAATGTAATCACTATGATTGGCTTTAAAGATCATCACTCCTCGTGTGAGACAAACCCTCTACACAGTATCTGTTAAGAGTTAGTGTTACCAAACGATAGGCTTAGTTAGTGATAAGCAATGCTAGAAATAGGGCAAAAACCATAAAAAGTCTGGGGTTTTTTGTCCTAGATTTTTAAGGTTTTATTCAAGCGCAACTGTGACGGAACGCTGTCAATGCGTACTATGCGCACCCACTTGTCCAGTCACATTGGACTAAGGGTGGTCCAACAGATTTGTTGCAGGCCCGTCATGGGTCTGCCTCAGGTCTATTTATATGGGGGGAGATATGTGATTGATGGTCTGATTTGTTTGGCGAGCGCCATAAGCTTGTGGCGCCATTTTTGTGACAGCTTTCCATGTGTCTAGCTGTTGCTGTGTTGTGTGCCTGTATTCTACATAGAGCAGTGTGTGTGTCTGTATATGCATCTGTGGGTCAACAAAGGGCCACCTGTATAAACTATAAAGTATAGTTAGGTGTAAAAGGTATTCTGTGTGTTAATCAAGTTAAATGCTGCACTGTGAGTAACCATCTGCTGTGGGAGCCAGCAAGTCTATCTACTACAGCAGAGGTTTCCAATTATTTTTTCCTGTGGAACCCTTTTACATAGCGTATCAACATTGTGGAACACCCCCGGTAAAAAAACAATTACAACATTTGCGTTTTTTTTGTATGTGCCGGTGTGTGTTTGTATGTGTATATGAATGTATCTGACACAGATACTCACACCTTGACAGACTCAGATACACACACTTGCGCACGCACACACACACACACAGTGACCTATACACAAACCTTGACACACACACACACTTTGACAAACACACATACATTCCCACTGACAAACACACCGAAAAGCAGACATACACGCTCGCTGACAAACAATTTATTTTAAATTTCACTCCACCCAGCCTCTCTACCTTTGGGAGTGCAGGCATGGAGTCTATTTACTTGGGGTCTAGTGGGGCTGAGCAACTGGCGTGCAGTCTCTTGAGTCCAGTGGGGCTACTGGGCTGAGCAGCTGGCGTGCAGTCCCTGGGGTCCACTTCATATTCCGGCTTCAGCATCTGCTGTGTGCGCCACGATAATTGAGGCTGGCGGCGAGATAGCACTCTCCTGCTCAGCGCCTTTGCCGCCCGCCTCAATTATCGAGGTGGCCATTTTGGCAGAACCCCCATTTGTGTTCTCGCGGACCCCAGGGTTCCACGGAACACAAATTGGGAAACACTGTACTACAGCAAAGGGCTGTGTTGATGTAACCAGAGATTGCTCTGAGTTCTTTCTCTGTGACCTGTTCTGTATTCCCATTGGTGAAAGTTTTGTGTAATTGTATGGAGACCCCCTGCTGGGGGTCGGTGTATAACTTGGCTGTACCAGGTCCCATTAAACAATTAATTCCAGTTGTACTCCCAGAACTGTGTCCTCTAGTTACTGGGGGATTTTGCCTTGGATATTTTACTGCTTCTTCAGCTACAAGGAGTATACCGTGGAGATAACTATGCTAGGTATTTTAGCTCCGCTACAGTAATATGTGCTACGCATACATACAGCGTATCAGAAGAAAGCTGCATTTCATTAAACAAAAACAAAAAAAACAACAACAAAAAAAAAAGATGCATGGCCACAAATAGGGGCAATGGCAAATGGTATTAGGTTTATTCATATCACTGTGGGCACATTTATGATGTAAACATATTAAGAGGTGTTACTCACAAAAACAGCATATTTTAGGGCATGGGTCTTGAAGAGGTATGATCTGGAATATTTGTCTGTTATGTTATTTTTTTTCCCCAGTCTAAATAGAGCAATAACACAAAGCTCCAATGGCTTTGCCGATTCAATGTTAACAAGCCTAAAGCAATCAATGCCACAGGGTACTTGCATGTCATGATCATATGACTTTCCCTATAACTGGTAATGATTAATATATTATGTGCTAGGCCACAGGAAGTAGCAACTTCCTCCTTATTACAGGTTGGGAACCTTTCACCATATAGGAAAAATGACCAATTTCCAATAACTTACTTATCTAGTAAAACACAAATGGATCCAGCTCATATCTAATGTGGCCCATACTTAATTCAAGTCCTGTATTTCTCATAGTATTTTTTGTTTCCCTTTCGTTAATTTAAAGGGAAAGTCCAGGACAAAAAAAAAAAGTGTGAAAAGACTCTCAGCTGCACCCAGTGTGACGCTTTCTAATTGAAGCCTCTGACCAACGTAGGAATTGGTGGTGCAAAGGGTTTCGGTCCAAGCTTGAAGACTTAGGGATGAAACTATTAAAGTTTAACCCTTTCAGCTAAGCCAGTGCCCAGGACGTCCACGCACTACAATAAATTGATTCCAATTAAATTGTTATTGTGCCAAGAGCAGTTTATAATATATATACACACACACATCTCAATTACTAAGAGAGACACAGTAGGCGCCATAACCACCTCAACATATTGAAATGGTCATGGCGTATGGCATCCGAGTGCACCTTGTTTCGCATCACTGTTTAAACAGGTCACTCAGTGTTCAGTAGAAATATTAAGTCCCTGGCACCCTGCAGTCAAGCCCCTAATCACAATACTGCAAAGGCGGACTTCTGATCTGCCACATTCTATACCAATTCGTAAGCTCTCAGCCCACAACTCCTGGCCATATGGTAACTGGGGTCTGCATCTCTGCTAAACTGAGAGTAACAGTTTACCACTCAAGAGGGACGTAGCAATTATAGACTCCAAGCACCATAATAACATCAAGCAGTTGAAGTGGTTATAGTGACTATAGTGTCCCTGTGATTAACACTGATTAAATGAATACTCCAAGCTTGTTATGTTTCCTACAATGAAAAAGATATACACTAAGCAACATTATAATCACCTCGCCAATATCCTGTAGGTAACCCTCATGCTGCGTAAAGAGGCTCTGATGCATCGAGGCATGGACACACAAGACCTCTAAACGTGTCCTGTGGTGTTTGGCACAAAAAAAAAAACAAGAGTAGCAGATCCTTTAAGTCCTGCAAGTTGCAAGGCGGGGCCTCCATGGATCAGATTTGTTGTTTCAGCACATCCCACAATGCTCAATTGGATTGCGAACACGGGTCTATTTGTAGGCAAAACCTTCAACTTTTTGTCATGTTCTTCTTTCCATTCCTGAACAATTTCTGCAGTGTGGCAGGGTGCATTATCCTGCTAAAGGAGGCCACTGCTATCAGGGGACACCATTGCCATGAAGGTGTGTATGTGGTCTGCAACAATCTCTAGGTAGGTGGTATATATCAAAGTAACATTCACATTAATGCCAGGACTCGAGGTTCAGAGGCAAAACATTGCCCATGGCATAATACTGCCTCTACCAGCCTGTCTTCTTTCCCATACTGCTGCAATCTCTTCACCAGGTAAATGACGCACACACACACCCAGTCATCCACCTGATTTAAGACCATCAGACCAGACACTTTCTGCGGTGGACAGGGATCATTATGGGCACTCTGACCAGACTGTGGCTCCATTCACAACACACTGAGATGCACAGTGTGTTCTGACACCTTTCTATCATAATCAGCATTACATGTTTCAGCAATTTGAGATACAATAGCTCTTCTGTGTGATTAGGCGAGATGGGCTAGCCTTTACTCCCCACATGACTCAATAAGCCTTGGGCCCCATGACCCCGATTGTCCTTCTTTGCACCACTTTTGGTATATACTAACTACTGCATACCAGGAACATACTACAAGACTTGCCGTTTTGAAGATGCACTGACCCAGTCACTTAGCCATCACACATTGGTCCTTGTCAAATTCACTCAAATATTTTTGCTTGCTCATTTTTCCTGCTTCCAACACATGAAATTCAAGAACTGACTGTTCACTTGCTGCCTAATTACATCTCATCCCTTATTAGATGCTATTGTAATGTCATAATCAATGTTATTCACTTCACCTGTCTTTGGTTTTAATGTGTCTGATCAGTGTAAGTGGTCTCACAATCTCTCACGCTTCAATTAGAAACCTTGAGCAACTACTGTACACATTTGTGAACTTGAAAAGTTTGAAGGGGAATTGCCATTTCCAAGGCTGTTTAAGATTTTGTTTAGTAACACATATGTTAATGTAGTATCAAAACCAATAGCGCTTTATAGGAACACAAACATGTGAACTATAGTGTTAAAACCACCATCTAGCCAGCCTGGTCCCCATTGCCTCCCTAAATATAGTAAAATCTTACTTGTATTCAAGTCTGCAGCTGTTGCCTCTGCCTCTGATCTACCTGCGTACAGCTGACATAATCAGAAATTATTCTGTGAGCCAATCACAATACTTTCCCATAGGATTGGCTGAGACTGTCAACGTGGCAGATCAGAGGCAGAGCCAGCACAAATAAAACACAGCCCTGGCCAATCAGCATCTCCTCATAGAGATACATTGACTCAATGCATCTCTATGAGGAAAGTTCAGTGTCTGCATGCAAAGGGTGGAGAAACTGAATGGTAGTACTGCACAGTGTGTAGCACTGCCTCAGGAAGCACCTCTAGTAGCCTTCTGAGGAGTGGCCACTGGTGGTATCCCTAGGCTGCAATATAAAAACACTGCCTTTTCTCTGAAAAGACTGTGTTTACTGCAAAATGCCTGAAGGGAATAATTCTACTCACCAGAATAAATACAATACGCTGTAGTTGTTCTGGTGACTATAGTGAACCTTTATCTTTTATGGCTGACTATGATAGAACTCCATTTTAGCTCTGTATTAAATGTTGCCCTTTTCGGTCACACATAGGCCTTGATTTAATATATTTGAATAAATATAAAACTAGATTTAAAAAAAAAAAAATTATTTTCAAACTATTAATACTTTTTTTTTTTCCCTTATCCAAACATATTAAAATGGTTGAGAACCCAAAGCTGCAGGGGAAGTTTTATCAAAGAATTCTGTTCTAGAAAGTGATACTATTATGGGACAATCATCATGAAAAACAGAGGAACCAACATGTCAATCTTCCCATTTTAAAAATTTGTTTGTACCAATTTTAGAACATGTTGATAATCTCTCCCAATGTTTCTGTTATCCTTTTTAATTGCATTGTGTGTACATTATCAAAGAAAATAGATCTTTACAGAAAGGGGAAAAAAAAAAAAAAAGTTATAGAAGGCTATATTCAAATGTTTTATTCACTGGTGCAATTTCCAGATTATTATTATGTTATTATTTATATAGCGCCAACAAGTTCCGCAACACTTTACAGTGCGAATATGTGACAGTTCCATTTTTAATGTTGAAGAAAGAATGAAAATAAATGTACTTTGAGCATGCTGTAGTGGTTGTGTGGTTAAGTTATGTCTCTGCCCCCATTAGCCCTGCAATGCAACCGGTTGGAGGAGGCAGAGCGCCAACCCAGTGCCTGGGGACATCAGCGCTGGAATCAGGTATGTGACTTAAAGTTTTTTTTTTTAACCCTTTACCTGTCTGAGGGGGCCACAAGAGTGTGTGGAAACAGGGGGCTCTATAGTGTTAAGAATAGGGAGGGGAGGAGGAGAATTGCTTGGAGAGTTACTTTAACCCCTTAAGGACCAAACTTCTGGAATAAAAGGGAATCATGTCATGTGTCCTTAAGGGGTTAAACAATAGTTGTGGTGAAATAAAATAGCCAATTTGTAAGTTTATCTTAACTGGAGAAATTTAACTATTATAGCCTTGAAATTCAATTCATCACAGTTCAATCACCACATTGTGTATAAATTACTTATCTACTTCACTGCTATCTCATATGATATATACTTTGGACTTAATACATCTGTGCACTGTGTATGACTGCAACTATTTACACTCCGCATACATGCCAACACGGCCTGATCAATACATTCAGCCATTAGTTTAATTAAATAAGCATCACCATAGTGATCACCAGGAACCAATACATTCCAAAGCTATGGACTTCAATAAACTGATAAACAGAAAGTGAAAGGTTCTGTAGAGAACATATATTGGAGCACTCCTGGAACTACAAAACTAGTCTGGCTTCACGCTTCTACTTTTTTCCTGGCATATTCACTGAAAAGTGGTGTGTATCACGCCTGGTGTTTACCACACTGCCTGCTCAAGGTTCAGTTCAGTCACCATGTATGTCACACATTGACTACTTTGGGTTAGTTAGTTAGTCTGGCTTGCGGCACCGTGAGCACATGGAGCGAGGTGGTGCTGGTACCTGTGTGTAGACCCCTTTGCTCTGTGCTGTCCTCACTCTCCCCCCCTCCTCCTCCGGGGGTCGCCCCTGTCAGTACTCTTGGTACGCTCCCGGCAGCGGCATGATAAGTCCACCAGTAACCAGGAAGAGCCAAAGCTTGGGGGGAGTGAGGCAACTGCAAGAACACACCCCCTACCAGCGCACCGACCAATCAGAGAAGTGCCATGGGTAGAGACACGCCCCATTTTAAACGCACCGTTCAGGATCCGTAAACTACCACACCTTTAATGACGTCATCAAATTAAGCACCGCCCTCTCCAAACACGTGACATGTACTGTTTGTTGACGCGTCACCGTGTGACATCATAAGCATTCTTGACTGATAACCGTCGCGCTAGGGACGGGGGAGGGAGGTCCTGGCTGATTGCCATCAGGATATACTAGTACAGCACAAAGTAAACACAGGCAGTGTGTGTCTAACATAGCAAATACTAATTACAATAACTGAAGTATGCGCAATATAATATAGCTGGTACACTTCAGGGGTTATTCACTAGAAGCCAAATGCCTCCAATGCAGATTATATACCAACCAAGTGACCCTATTTAGAAGGGACAGTCTCTATAGTGGGACCAAATCTCTCTGTGCCGCTTGTAACAAAACTTGATCGCGGTAACTCAGCCTTTAGCCAGGTTTTGGATATTATCATAAAACTAAGTAGGCCCTATTTTTTGTTTGTTTTTTTTTTAAATCTTTTGACTGTGTTGGAATCTGTATTTAAACGGCAATAAATGTGTTTAGAAATCAGTGTGTGTACACTGCTCTTGTTCTAAATTAAATTTTCATTAGTGAGTCACCAAAGGTTCCAGACAATTTATGTAAAGGGTCCATTCTACATTTGACCACCTGCCTCCTGTGGAAATATCTCTGCAGCACACACCGCAACCATACAAGCTCGTATGTGATGCTATGATCAGGTCCGGAGCCGTGACGAATATTGCGTGTCTAATCCATACCACCATGTGAAAGAGCTACCAGCAAAGTTTGTTTTTCGCTTCCACGTCCAGTCACTATATGTTCAAATGACGCGCCACCTCTGATGTAAAAGTCTTGTAATCGTTGAAGAGCCCAGTAATAAAGAGGGCCTGGAAATATGGCTTATATAGAAGCCACCAAAATGCAGATGATCCGAACCAAGTGCTTAAAAGAGAGTTGGGCAATAGTGAGTGCACACCTGATTACCTTCTTGAGCTTCGACAATTTTGAGGTCGGAGGGTCTGGAAAGTGGAATCGACAACAAGACCCAGAAATTCTTTGTGTTGTGACAGCTCCTAGAGAGATTTTGCCCAATTGAAACCCAGGTTTTTCAGTAAGGTCAACATCCAAGATAGGTGTGTGAGCAAGGTGGACAGACTGAGCCAGAATGAAAATATCGTCCAGGTAAATTATATGGTGTACTCCCCGTCTTCTCAGCAGAGCAACTACGGGTTTCATGAGCTTGGTAAAACACCATGGGGCCGACGATAGTCTGAATTAGAGGCACCTGAACTTCCATTTCTGTTTTTGCCAAGTGAATTGAAGGAAATCTTGATGCCTGATATGGACAGTGAGGTAGGCGTCCTGTAGGTCCAATTTGTTCATCCAATCAGATGGTGCGTTCTATCTTGAAGTGATGGTATGCCACATAACTATTTAGCTGTTTTTGATTTATCACTGTTCGTACACCACTACCTATTTTGGGGACCAAGAAAAGATTGTTGACACAAACCAGGCTCAATTTTAAGTAAAATGCATTTGTGGTGCTCAGTTGCAAGAGCAGTATTGCTGTTTCCCACCAAGCACATTAGTCTCAGGATCCATCCACGTATAGTATCACGATACAGCTCTCAGTCGTCCTTGACAGCATCAAATATCTTGGCAGCAGGAGTCCAGAATCCTATCCTGACAGTTCGTTAGACCTGACCTTTCCTGGGCTTCCATCAATTTTTCCACAGAAATTGGACGATTTTGGGATTGACCATGGGTGTCTTGGAGAGGTCCCTGGGGGCCATGGGGTGTGAGCAATAATCCCATAGTTTATTGTGCTTTGCTTTTTCTAAAGGCTTTTGTAGTCTTGAAGTGATATGTTTAGCCACATAACCAGAAAGGCACCATTCCGCTGAACGTGGATAATGCAAATCATCCAGGTCGAACAGAGGTATACTTTTAGAATCAACACCAGAGTCTGGCAAACTAACCTCACCCCTTAATTTCACCACGAGCACCATTGGACTCCGGTTCAGACTGGTCGTCTAAAGTGCCCATAAGGGACCCTCTATATCGCTGAGCTCAGACAAATCTAGTTGGGTTCTTGCCCTCTTCCATAGTGTAGCCAATTTTACCCAGCTAGAGGCTCATTTGCGCGATGGTATATTAGATTAGATCATTGACAAGAGGTGTACTGTCCATCTCATGTTGTTTGAAGGATTGTTTGGAGTTGCCCATTACTTTGCAGCCTGGTTGAGGCAGATCAGGTTGGATAAAGGTGCAGTCGCCTGAAAAGTCGTCGGAGCCGACCGCTGGGACTGCAAAAGGGCCTGAGTGAATGTCTACGATAGGGATTTGGACATTTCGCCCATCACAGAAACTAAGGCCTTCGTCTTGGACATAGGCATAGAGGTATTAAAGAATACTTGCATTTTAGTAGAGGCAGTAAAATCAGGTGACAAATCAGTCTCTTCACCTGAGGTCATAGGGGAAACCCCAAGGTGACCTGAGGGGTCGGATGAGACCCAGATGGGAAAGACAGATCCCTGTCAGACTGATCAGGTGAACGTGTTACAATGAAAAAAAATAAACTTTGTTGAGCCAATAACACTTAACCTATAGGATAGGTTTGATTAACCCCCAGATGAAAGTGAAGCAATAAAAAAGTGGAAACAAATACTCACAGGATTATACAGTAATAACAAAAACACACAAGAAGCTAAGACCTGTCCGGCCGAAAAAACTATTCTAAACCCCAACAGAGGTTTCAGGCCATTAGGGGACAAGGCTAAATAAAAAGTGTGTGAAAAATTGCAGAACAGCCATAATGAAGTCCAAATTACACTTCAAAGACAGATGTGGCGAATCTTAACAATATAAACAGTGTGCTAATGAAGCTGAACAAGCAAGCGTTCGGTCTCGAACATGCAAAACTAAAAGGGCAAATGTTGAGAAAAGTAAGTGTTCGTTGTCCGAACGCGAAAATAAAAGGCACTAAAAGCTGCGAGCGCAAATTTCGGAAAGGCGAATATAGCGGGAAACTGAAGGGACGCGCATGGGTGGCCAATTCGGAGAAAAAGGAGCGTTAGAGTGGCCCAAGAAAAGGGGAAAATAGGCAGCGAAATTGACAAATAAAGGGAAAAATTATTTCGGAAAGGCGAATATAGCGGGAAACTGAAGGGACGCGCATGGGTGGCCAATTCGGAGAAAAAGGAGTGTTAGAGTGGCCCAAGAAAAGGGGAAAATAGGCAGCGAAATTGACAAATAAAGGGAAAAATTATTTCAAGACATCCCTAAGCCCTACTAAAAGAGTATAGGACCAGGGAGGTCGAAGGGGAAACCGAAACTAAGACACAGAAGGATTTAAAACAAATAATGTAGTATAACAAAACCCCCTTAATAATAATAAAGAATAATAATAATTAATAAACAATGAAAGCAATGGTTAATAAGAGCAAATATGTATACCACAGTTAAAGGGGCACTGTAGTGTCAGGAACACAAGAACATAAATGTGTATTCCTGACACTATAGTCATGGCCAGATTAAGAGCCCAGTGGGCCTGATGATGACAATTATGATGGGCCTAATTACAGAATCTTATCGACTAAAAACACCCCCAGGCGTCATGTATCTGATGGAGATGGTGCTGGAGGGAAAGAAAACAGCAGCTATAATAAAACACATACCCTATGCTAATCTCCCTCTAATTTATGTTTTCATATCTCAAGTAAATCCATAACAGCAGTGTCAAGTGAAGCAGGAAGTCAATCGGCATGGTAAAAGGGTGTGCCGCTGAGGCAAATCACGTAACCTGCCAAAAGGAGCTAACATGCCTAAAAAGGGGCCATGTCCGCCCAAGGAATTGGAAGGCCAGCCTGGCATGAATGCATGTCAGGCTGCCTATCAATCATGCAAGCTGGCCAACTAAGGGCATACTATGCAGACAGCACCCTGAGCTTGGCATAAATGCGTCTAATGATGCGCTCGCTCAACACTTTCTAAGGACTTTCACTCGCTGGTCCACTTGTCTCATTACCTTCTTACTGGCAGGCAGAAGCTCATGGTATATAGTCTTGGACAGATAAAAGCTATATGTAGTGAGTGTAGAAGAAAGGAGGGAACATGCCACAGTGTTAGAGAGACCAAAGTCAGCATTACCTTAACTAATTTTATTATCAGCAAGTCCACACAAGTTTTGTTCCCATGCATTCCTCTTAGGTTTCCATACTTAAGCAAGAGTATGTGAAAAGTAGTTAGGGTTGCCACCTTTCTTGGAAAAATATACCAGCCTTACTAATTTGCATAATTAATTATGTATGGGTGACATCACATGATGTAAATCACAAGGAGTGACATAAGAGAAAATGCTGTAAAATCACCCAAAAACTACTTACAGTTTGATTCTGCAGTATAGATGGATTGCTCCCAGTGGCTCCCTGTCCCCCAGTGTCTCAAGTCTCCCATTCTCTCAGTGTCCCTATGTATCAGTGTCCACATGTCTCCCAGTGTCTCAGTGTCCCCTAGTCCCCATTCCCCCCATGTCTCCCAGTGCTCTCATGACTCAGTGTTGCCATGTGTCGATTACCCCAGGTCTCACAGTGTCCATATGTATCACAGTGTCTCAGTGCCCCATGTCTCCCAGTGTCCTCCAGTTTCCCAGTGTCCCCTAGTGTCGTGTCCCCAGGTCTCCCAGTGACCCTATGTATCACAGTATCCCTATGTATCACAGTGTCTCAATGCCTCATGTCTCCCAGTGTCCTCCAGTTTCCCAGTGTCCCCTAGTGTCGTGTCCCCAGGTCTCCCAGTGACCCTATGTATCACAGTATCCCTATGTATCACAGTGTCTCAATGCCTCATGTCTCCCAGTGTCCTCCAGTTTCCCAGTGTCCCCTAGTGTCGTGTCCCCAGGTCTCCCAGTGACCCTATGTATCACAGTATCCCTATGTATCACAGTGTCTCAATGCCTCATGTCTTGTGTCTCCATGTCACCCAGTGTCCCCATGTCTCCCTGTGTCCCCCAATATTCCTCTGAGTGTCCCCTAGTGTCTATGTCTCCAAGTGTCCCCTAGTGTATGTATCCCCATGTCTTCCAGGGTCCCTGTGTCACTAAGACACTAGGAACACTGAGAGACATTGGGGACACTGTGAGATCTGGGGACACTGAGAGAAATGGGGATATTGAGAAACTTGGGGAACTGGGAGACATGGTGACACTGGGAGATATGTAGACATTGGAAGACATGGTGACACAGACACTAGGGACACTGGGAGACATGGGGACACTGAAACACTAGGGGACACTGAGACACCAGGGACACTGGGAGACTAGGGGACACTGTGAAAATAGGGGACACTTGAAGACATGGGGACACTGAGACACCAGGGACAGGGACACTTGCTGGGAGACCTGGGGACATTGAGACACTTGGGGCACTGGGAGACTTGGGGGCACTGGAAGACATAGGGAGACTGGGAGACATGGGGACACAGACACACTGGCTGAGAGACATGGGGACACTGGGAGACATGGGGACACTGTGTCCCTAGTGTCTCATATCTCCCAGTGCCCCCATGTCTCCTTGCAGCCTTTCGCCCCATTCCTCACTTCCCTGAGTTGCTGTCTGGACTCTCTGTGGCTGCTCCCTTGTGGATCAGTGAGTAGAGATAGGCAGGGAGGAATATGCTGGAACATCCTAATCCTGCCTCTTTCCACACACACAGCGACCCCTACTGGCCAGTATTGCATCGTAATTTCTGTTTATACTGAGAAAAATACCAGCATTTGTGGAAGCCCTAAGAGTAGTGTGTAAAAAATTGGCATGGGCCTGAAGCTGCATCTCCATTAGCCCCTATGTTAATCCAGCCCTGACTATAGTTCTAAAACAACCATTTAGATAGTTGCCCCCCCTTACCTGGAGTTAGAAAGGTGATAGGGAAAGTTCAGCATCTCTGCAGCACTGCCCCAGAAAGCATCTCTAGTGGCCGTCTGAGGAGTGGCCACTTGAGGTGTTCCTAGGCTGTAATGTAAACTCTGAAAAGGTAGTGTTTACATTAAAAAGCTTGTAGGGACATACAATACTAACCATGATACAATATATATATCACAAAGTTACATTCCTGTCACTCCATTCCTATAATCCCTAGCTATGGATTTTCCAGACACTTGTGGGAGGTCTTTTCTGCTCTCCCTTGTCAGGCGATGCCTCGGCACACAGAAACATTGACTGACAGCTGGGAGAAAAACTTATTTTGAAATAGGTTCTCCTAAAAAGTTATTTGTGGCATTACAGTGGCTCTGTCACTTTCCATGTTTTTTGCATACTTTGCAAGGACCCGAAAAGCGACATCAATGCTTGTGGCCCTGGGTTAAAGGGAGGCTATAGGCAGCGAATCAACTTTAGTTTTATGAATCAGTTTTTTTCCATATCTCCTGTCGGAGGTTTGATACCTATAATGTTCCTTTGTAGTAGAGTTGAGTTATCCTTACCTGTACATATTTGCATATGCTGTGAAGTAGCTCTGCCCAACCGCTGAAGTGATTATAGCTGATATAGCTTTCCCCCCCCATAGCTTTCCCCCTATAGCTTCCCCCCCCCATACATTAGTATGAATGTTGGGAGTAGTGCTGTTTTTTCGGTCAAAGCACATTTATGCACAGACCCCCCCAGCATGGGGTCGCCATACAAAACTGTACAAACTCCTCCCAGGCATCTCTGTGTCTGGGAGATAATTAAGTCAAAAGCCTGGTAATGCAATTATCTCCCAGCTACAGAAAAAAACCATAACATTTTCACAAAAACACCCCAAAACCCCAATAATCCCAAACAGAAACACCACATGTCCTATATCCCCGGATAGCCCGGATCTCAGCACCCAAGTTCTCCATATAGCGCTCAGATCCGTTTGGTGTAGTTGAATCACCACCGTGGTAAAGTTTTGACAGGCCGGCAATGAGGTCATAGCCCAAAATAGTTCCAGAGTGAACGTGGCTACGACAATTCAATATTCGAGAGCTCCTGAGCAAAAATGACCGAATTTCCACCCTGACTCTTAGGTAGCAAAAGTTCCTCATGGGTCACAGAGTCTTTTCCCCAAATAGCTCTCTTCTGGCTTGTCTGTAAATGGAGAAGGCGGCTGTATGAGTACACCGGGATTCATGAGCTGTAGTGTTCCGAACATAGTTCCATGCGCTCAAAATACCGCTGCCTATGTTCAGCAGACAAAATAATTGCCATTCCAAAGAGCACGTGTTTTCGGTTATATGAATGGCGGCCTCCCAGGGAGAGCACTTGTGTTAACGACCTTCTTTAAGTTAATGAGCCAGGGGATGGTCTCTCGGGTGTATAAAAAGGGGAATGTGAAATTCCATACAGTAACCGAACAGGTGGGTTATATATGAATTTGAAAGAGAAAGGGGTTTTCCTTCACATATGCCTATAACAATGCTGTCCCCCAGAGGCACTGTCATCTTTAGTCTTCAGTTCCTGGTGCTTCTTCCACCAGGAGCCCTCGTCAAGTCTGTGCTGTCGCACATATGTGTAAATACAACACTGATGTCTATGGAGGAGACCGCGGTTGCCTGCTCAGATATTATCTTGCGATAAGCGACATAATGCTTTATTCCCACAGCCATCGTTAGTGAAGGCTGTGAGTTGTAACAAAACTTGATTGCGGTAGCTCAGCCTTTTGTCAAGTTTTGTGAGCATGATGATATACTATAATACTAAGTAGTCCTGTATTTGTTTATGATATCTTTTGACTGTGTTGGAATTTCAATGACATTTCAACACATTCTTTATGAGCATTTAATAAAGATTTTATCCTTATGAAATGTAAAATAAAACGTTTTTGGGGGAGCCACTTTAAGTTATTTAATGTATATAATAAATTAATATTATTGATATAGATTACTTATTTAGAATTATTTAAACCACCTTTTCTAATCTAGGTTTAATTTGGGCTTTAGTCAGTAATTCCAAAATGTAGATAAAAATAGCTGATTTGTAAAATTCTCTATTTTAGATATAGTTACAGCTCGGCTATTGTAGCTTGAATTTTGCAATCTGGTTTCACTTCATCATAATTTGGTGTGTATAAAGAAACTGTCAGTTCCTTGTTCCTTCACCCCACTAAACACTATTACACTGTTTACTGGATGCACAGAGCAGCGGAGGTAAGTTAAAACACAACCAATAACGAACGTTTAGTTAGTTGTTTGGTTGTGTTAAAGGGATTATCTGGCTCCCTAAAGCACTTTAACTTTAAGAGTGTGTCCTATTTTTTCATTTGCAAAAAGTGACACTTTTATAAATTAACCTGGTTACACCTCCTGGCTTTCAAGCATTCTGTTACTTCCTGGTTTGGTTAGCTCTTGGTTAAAGGGCACTATAGTCACCCAGACAACTTCAGCTCAATGAAGTGGTCTGGGTGCCAGGTCCCTCAGGTTTTAACCCTTCAGGTATAAACATAGCAGTTTCAGAGAACTGCTATGTTTACATAATAGGGTTAATCCAGCCTCTAGTGGCTGTCTTCCTGACAGCCGCTAGAGGCACTTCTGCGACGCTGGATGTGAAACTCGCATCCAACGTGCAGAACGTCCATAGGAAAATGGGCATTTAGTTTAAATGCGCATTCCACTCCACTCGGGAGCTGATGACAGAGGGTGAGGAGAGGTCACCAGAGTCGAGGGAGCCCGGCGCTGGATTAAGGTAAGTAACTGAAGGGGTTTAAACCCCTTCAGCGCCACAGGAGGGGGGCCTTGAGGGTGGGGGCACTATAGTGTCCGGAAAACAGGTTTGTTTTCCTGACACTATAGTGATCCTTTAAACTCAAGAGGTAGCAATTGCTCAGAGCACCTGCCTTGCAGCTATGCTGGAAAGTGTGTGATTGGACAGTTACAGAAAGTCTGGGCGGGGTTAGAAGTGGAAGGCTTGCAAAGACAATTGCAGGTTTTGCAAGCTGATTTTAGATATACCCCAATGAAAAAATACATAATTAAATATGCTAAACAGTAATTTTATATCTACTAAACAGTAATTTCATCTATTTTGTATTTGGGAAGTGGAGTGTCCCTTTAAAAGCGAGGAAGTGACAGTTCCTCTATAATGAATAAACCTCATCATGTCAGGATTTTATTAAAGACACAGAGGCTCATGTTATGATGTACTTTCTTTATTTCCCTCAGCAAAGAAAAAAATATTTAAACAGTATAGTAAATATAACAATCACATGTCAGAGTAACAAGGTCAGCTAATCAGCACCTCTTCTGTGGTATAATGGATGGATGCCAAACCAACTACGTCCTCTTTGTTAGCTGCTCCCTCATTTATATAGAACATGGGTCCCACTGTTTTCATACTGTGGGATCTATTTTATCTATATTATCTATGGTATATCTATAAATTTTTAATATCCACTATTATTATTGCTTCTTGTTCTGTTTACCACAATCTCGTTTTTTTTTATTCTTTATTTTTCTCTCAGGTAATAGCCTTGATATAAAACATCTTACGACAAAAGCATGTGTGAGACAGCATGAAATTGGTATAACATAGCAAACAGGTCAACTGACACATTTGGGTGACAGGCCATGAACTGAGGTTTTTTAGTAAAGTGGAGGTACTAGAGATAGGTCTTAGACCTCTCCTGCTAGGATTATAGATTTTATCGGATGGGTTAAATATAGTGAATATGCTATTGGTCGGGGTAGGTTAAAAACGCTAGTGAGAGAGAAAAGTTAGAGTCAGATTACTATGGTCAGATAGGCTAGGTTTTGCCTTTAGTTGAGACACTTAAACGGTGTATGAAGATTACCCCTTATCCAAGGGGGAGGAGGGGAGAAAGGGACAAATATGGCCTGATGTGTGGATATTTGAGCCACTTGGACATAGGGAGAAGTTTGGCAATGGCTCAGCTGTACATACTCCTTACCGTGCGTGTATAGGAGCGAAGCGAGCAAGAAACAGCCTTTGCTTGTTAATAATGGGAAAACGGGAAGTAAAAACACAAAATGATATAAAACAGCTCTAATAATGTGAAACAGAATACAAGGCACAGAATGCAAAATGGAAACAATGTCAGAGTTGGCTTTCATCATGTAATATAAATGGTTGTTCTAGAAAGAGGTAAACCTTGCCCGTCAGGCTGTCAGTTCTCCATCACGGCCGTTGGAGGACAAAGGGGGTCACCATAGTGGGATCCCAGGCATAGGATAGTGCAGAGGTGGTGCACTGCCCTGTCAGGGTTACGGAGTCCCACTGGCGCCTCAAGGTGGGCAGGAGATCCTTTGCACCTTGCCAATCTACGATGGAATGCGAGGAGTCGCCTTGGTGAATTATTAACATGTGAGACACCCTCCATCTGTAATTGACTTTATCTAATCGGAGGAGAGATGTGAAGGGCTGGAATGACGTCAGGCCAGTGTGTTGTCCCAGACAGGTCTCTATAGAATGAGAGCGACATGTTCTCAGCAGATATGGTGAGTTGTTTTGTCCCTGCTACTTTGGAAGCGTAACAGGAGATGTCTTGGTGACGAGGTCGGAGCTTTAGCAGGCCTTGCTATGTGGAACATCCCTTCCAGGGTAACCGATTTTGATTGCTTGTCAGACAAGGAGACTAACAGGAGTCACCTTACAAAGTGAGATACCTTGGCCTCCGGGATCTACTCAGTGATCCCCCTGATCTTAATATTCAGGCTTTGCGCTGCAAATCGCTGGTCATATTTAAGATTCTGCTACTGTAACTTATGCACTGCTTGCTGCAGCAGTGCTGTGTGTTGTGCGTTTTGGCGGGAGTCTTGTTCCAAGGTACTCATGCGGCCTGTCTGACCCTGTAAGTCTTTGTGGATTTGAGACATGTCGGCCTGTAGCCTGTATGGTATGCTGTAAACCAGCCAGCAGTTCTTTCATGACTGCCGTGGTAACTAGAGATGAGACTGGCTGTGGGGGAGTCAGTAGAGACGACTGCTCCAACATCTCTGCTCTTGTTGTGAAGTCATCTGAGATGTTGGAGCAGTCGTCGGCAAAGGCGGCCATGTTTGGACCTATGGCACTGTGCGCTTGTCTCCAGAGTTGCTACAACCTAAGGTTTTTTGCCAGGGCCAGAAGAACCAGGAGATGTTTCTCCAGCCGTTTTCCCAGAGGTTCTCTTGTACATAACCGAGGTTCTTACACGGGATGACCCATCTTACCTGAGCAGAGATCCACGCCATTGTTTCCTGCTGCGTGACTGGCCCTGGGTTGCTGTCAGCACATTAGGTGCTCCTTCGGAATGACACCCCTGTGGTAAATGATTTCAATCACCATTCTTTCATACTAGCAGTGGGGGGCAGACTCACCCATTTTTCTCATGTATTGTCCCTTATTACATCAGATGCTTGGGTTCTCCAAAAATAAAAGAAGAAAACTCAAAACACTGGAAATACTCCTGCAATTTGAGTTTGATATGGAATTAAATAGTAAATATACGATCTGTGAACAAATGATGTTTACAATAATAATGTATAAAGATTCCTACATGTCCCAGACCCTAGAGACATCAAATGTGAAGTGATAATTACTAAGCCTTTCAGCTAAACCTCTCACTTATCCGCTGTGTCAATAAAAAACCCTCAGACTACTGACTTTATTAATAACTCGATAGGTCACAGTCTGTATTATACATTTAGATCAAAACTAATAGAGTCACGGAGGGTATTCCAAATCCCTAATATAGTGGCCTTAAGTATTAAAAATAACCTAGCCACTGTATGATGACAGTGATATGTCAGTAGGGGACCGTTTAAACCAAGAGGTCTCCCTGTCCGTAATGATAGATAGTAATTGCTAGTAATAACAACAAGTGTGGGGTCAACTATAGAAAAATGTATCTAAGTGTTATAAATACAAAGTAACTAGTAGGAGAACGTGTATATAATGAAAGGAGAGAGTCAGTCTCAGATACTATTGTATCTCCTACACGGTAACTAATAGATACAGGATTTGGAAAATGAAAGAGAGGTAAAAAAGATTATTAAATAGTGCTAATGTGCAGAACCATACTTAGGATGTTGGTTGCCTGCACATAGTGAAAAGTGCCCAGTGTGAATATGTGAAAAAGAAAGAGACAGAGAACCCGACGCGCGTTTCGGTGCTTAAAGCAGTCACCTTCGTCAGGGGCTAGAATGAGTTTGGGTTCTCCAAACTGAATATTAAGGATGGTGAAAAATCAAAAACAATAAACCTAAAAAATGAAAATAAAGCATAACACTCTCACAGTGTAGTATTATCAGTTTTCTTTAGCGTGGATAAAAATAATGGTGTACAGGACAAAACATATTTTCCAGAGCCACATATAGCAGGGTCTGGCTTCCAAAGTATTATGTTTGGTAATCTTAACATTCTCACTAGACATGTGCAATTCGTTTTATTACGAATGTAATTTCAGACAAATTTCAGAAATTCGGACATTCGGATTCTTCCGAATATCCGAATTTCGGAAGTGCCGAACCGAACTGAACTGAATTGCCAAAATGCTGAATTACCTAAGTGAATTGCCAAAGTGCCAAATTTCGGAAGTGCCGAAGTGCTTCGGATTTCTGAAAAGTGTCAAAACAAGAGAGGGAGGGAAAATTATGTGAATGATAACAGGAGTCTAACCCTACCCCTAACCCTACTCCTACCCCTAACACTACCCCTACCTCTAACCCTACCCCTAACTCTACCCCTAACCCTACCCCTAACCCTAGATGTGTAAGTGGTTGTGGTGGATTGGGTTAGGGCTAGGGTTAGGGTTAGGGATATGGGTTAGAGATAAGGTTAGGGTAAGGGGTAGGGTTAGGAGTTACATTAAGGAATTGCCAAAATCCTGAATTACCAAAGTCCTGAATTTCGGAAGTGCCGAACTGAAGTTCCGAATCGCCGAAGTCCCGAATTTCAGAAGTGCCGAATTGAACCAAATTGTTCTCTTTGACTCTGATCTCTCCTTTAACCCTCATGTCCAGTCGATCGCCAAATCCTGCCGCTTCCATCTTAAAATCATTGGGAGCATCTACTTAACGCCAGATGCGGCTATGGTGCTGGTCCATGCCACAGTCCTCTCTCGTCTTGACTACTGCAATCCGCTTCTCAGTGGCTTACATGTTTCAAGCTTGCCCCACTGCGGTCTATAATGAATGCGGCGGCGAGGCTCATCTTCCTGTCCGCCCGCACCTCCCACACCTCACCCCTCTGTCAGTCACTGCATTGGTTTCCCATAAGATATAGGGCACAATATAAAATTCTGGTTCTTGCATTCAAATCTCTACATAATGCTGCTCCCACCTATCTACCCTCCATAATACACAAATATATCCCGTCTAGGCCCCTATGCTCTATCCTCTGTTCGTACCCTCACCTCTGATGCTCGCCTTCAAGACTTCTCTAGGACTGCACCATTCCTGTGGAACTCCCTTCCCTTGTCCGTTAGATGCTCACCTAGTCTCCACTCCTTCAAATAATCATTAAAAACTCACTTTTTAACAAAAACATAGCAATTAAACTGTTAATGGCTCCAAAACCCCACACTAAGTCTTCATTGAATACTATTTTACCAATCTACTTCCCTAATACTTCCCTTACCTTTTGTGTCACTTTACCCTACTCCCTCCAGCATGTGAGCTCATTGAGCAGGGCCCTGAACCCCTTTGTTTCTGTGCGTCAAACTTGTCTGGTTACAATCACATGTTTACTTTGTACACCGTGGGTTATTCCCCAATCTTAGGGAGAGTAACATTGGGCATTTTTTGGTACTGACCCACTAGCCCCCTTTTTGTATTGGGCCTCTTGGATCAGAACCAGTTCCTTCTTTATTTTACAATCACATGTTTGTTAGTCCACCCAGTGTAAAGCGCTACGGAATTTGTTGGTGCTATATATATATATATATATATATATAATAATAAGAATAGTTATATATAATTGTCTCTCTCTCTTTTTTTTTTTTTTTTTTTTTAAATGTACGTCCTTCCTAGGTCAATTGCATGACTTGCTATTGCTCACCTACCTTGAGAAATTTGCATTGAAGCTCTATGAGCCGTCATTGTCCTAAATGGTGCATTGTGCCTTCAATTTGTACACAACGCCGTAAGTAGTGTAATTAATCCAATAAAAAATTGATACAGGATTGATTGATATAATCAAGCTCAATAAAGCCTAGTTTCCAGGTGGTTAATGCCCAGTTTGTGACATGTAATTGTCTTAAAGTATTGATTGTGTAATTAGTTATTTGTAGCTTTGATACTCTTCCCATTTTTGAACTTGCTGTCTAGGTAGTTTAATTTTCATGTAACAATATTATTTATCCTCCTTTTAATTTCCCTGTAACAATAGATGATAGAAACATAGAAACATAGAATGTGACGGCAGATAAGAACCATTTGGCCCATCTAGTCTGCCCAATTTTCTAAATACTTTCATTAGTCCCTGGCCTTATCTTATAGTTAGGATAGCCTTATGCCTATCCCACGCATGCTTAAACTCCTTTACTGTTTTAACCTCTACCACTTCAGCTGGAAGCCTATTCCATGCATCCACTACCCTCTCAGTAAAGTAATACTTTCTGATATTATTTTTAAACTTTTCTACCTTTAATTTAAGACTATGTTCTCTTGTTGTGGTAGTTTTTCTTCTTTTAAATATAGTCTCCTCCTTTACTGTGTTGATTCCCTTTATGTGCTGATACTCAGTGATATTTAGCCTTCTCTGTGCTAATGAGTACACACATCAAGTTTGTTAAGGAAAATAAATGTATATTGGCTGTGAGACAGTAAAAGGGTCAGGAAAAAATGTCTGAAACATTGTCTATTACCTGTTGGATACATAAATAGGTAATGGACAATTGACTGTAGAAAACACTATGTGAAATTGCACACTGCTGAACACATTGGCTATAGTTCACTCCTAAAATGAAAAAAACAAAAACACAAAATTTGTATTTGTAAATATAAAAATGCACACACCAATATGCATAAAGTCCATCTATATTTGCACAAAAGGTATAAAACACCATGTAACAATTTACAAATGTGAGGTAGGCCAGAAAGCAATAGTAGCATAACACACTTACCAACTGTCCCTATTTTAGAATAGTGCCTATTTTTGGAAATCCCTCTGACCCCCTTTTCGTTCCCAATGACCCTCTTTTGTGGAAGCTCCAAATTATTGTATCAACATAGATAGAAAAGTCAGAAATCGTAGTAAAGATAGAGGGGTAAATTAGAAGAAGCTCAGTCTTGGACATAATAATCTGTAGGTTGTGGGATACTAACCTGGAAGAAATTGCAAATAAGTAGTCACTGTTAGAATGGACAGAGGGAGGAATAGGTTGGAGATGTAGTGAGGAGTAAAGAAGACGGTAAAGAAAAAGACTTCATCCTCTGTGACTGAGGGGAAGAAGCAGAGACTTGCAGTGGTGTTGACTTGGGGTGGAGGCGGTATTTAGTAAGCTTGTGTTTCTTGTGAAATTATGTTGTATTGTATTATGATTGTATGGATGCACACGTGACTGAAATAAGCAAACACTAAGATTATTTAATTACAATAATCTACCATCCTTCCACAATCAGTATGGTTTCTCACCTTGCTTCATGGAAACTATTTAATTCTCAAATTGAAGAATATCAGTTAATATTTTCAAAAACTGCCTCTTTCAATATTGACCAATGTGTTTTTTTTGTAAGTCTGTATATTTTATTAGCAATATTTTACTAAACATTAGAAAATCTTTTCTGCTATTTTCCATTTAAAACGTAGAACCGTTTCTACATTAAGTAGTTATATTCACTACTCCAATAAATTACGAATTACATTTGGTAGATTTTACTTGACATATAGCACCACCAAGTGATCAAATCTGGTGTGAATTATCTCAGTGAACAGATTTCTAAGGCTGAATAAGATCTATGTATTGCAAAGATAGTAATTATATTATTCCTATAATGATAATGTGATATGAGTTAAAATATAGTTCTTATCTTATAATGAAATTAATTTTGGGGGCAACAGCATATAGCCCAACATTTCCAACGGACAATCTGGGACACTTTCATTTTAGTGGTGTGGGCTTGGTGTGCCATGGGTGGGAATAGTATATGAAATTATAGGTGACTTACTAATAACATTTTTTGTAAGTTAATAAAAGAACAAAGTATCTTAATTACACAGACTGATTTCTAAAACACATTTTTTTGTAGTTTAACCCCTTAACACTGGAGGGCGTACTATTACGTACTATTTTAGGCGGCTCTAAACGCCCTCTAAACGCCTAATAGTATGCCCTCCGTTTTTTTTTTTTACTTACCCTCGCGGTTGGGGGTACTCCCAGGGAGCCCCCCGCAGCACGTCCGACCTCCTGCAGCCCCCCCGGCCATATACACATATACATAAACACACACACACACTCTCTAGGTGTATTTTACTATTAATATATATATAATTATATATATGTATTAATATCAAATTACATGTAGACTGATTAAATATATATATAATCATTGTTATATATATATATATTTATATCTAATATAAAATAAATAAATATGTAAATAGGTTAAAAAATAAAATTAAAAATAAATAATTAAAAAATATATAAATGTATGTTATTTCGTTCTAACTGTATTGTGATATTAATATATATGTATTTATATCAAAATACATGTAGAATTAAATAATATATACTGTATATCTATATACATAAATATATACGTATATATCACTATATATATACCTATATATAAATAAAAATATTTTTTTTAAATTATATATATATATATATATATATATATATATATACATATACATATGTATATATATATATATATATATATATATATATATATATATAAAACAAGAGGAGGTTGGCTGCACTCACCTTAACATGCATAAATGGGGGTGCTGCTGGGGGCCAAATAATACAATACACAAGATCCAGCGCACTCACCTATCCACTAAACAGCAACTTCAAAGTTGAAAGATTTTATTTGTTTTTTTTAAAAACACCTAATCTAGGCAAAAATAATGGGGGTTTAGTTACATTATATGATCATACATTGCATAAGCCTGCCACAACGTCAATGTACCCCATCTTTGGCAGGTCCTACACCAACAGCCTAATGTCTGCTCTTATGAGATTAACCTACTTGGGGAAAAAAATTCCATCTGGGGCTCTCTGCAGTACAAGGCTAAATAGGGCCCTGGGATGAGGCACCTGTGACAGGGAGGGGTGCAAAACCAAGGAGTTGGCTAGACTCCCAAATATATATATATAAAACAAGAGGGGGTTGGCTGCACTCACCTTAACATGCATAAATAGGGGTGCTGCTGGGGGCCAAATAATACAATACTCAAGATCCAAGCACTCACCTATCCACCTATCCCAGGGCCCTATTTAGCCTTGTACTGCAGAGAGCCCCAGATGGAATTTTTTTCCCCAAGTAGGTTAATCTCATAAGAGCAGACATTAGGCTGTTGGTGTAGGACCTGCCAAAGATGGGGTACATTGACGTTGTGGCAGGCTTATGCAATGTATGATCATATAATGTAACTAAACCCCCATTATTTTTGCCTAGATTGGGTGTTTTTAAAAAAACAAATAAAATCTTTCAACATTGAAGTTGCTGTTTAGTGGATAGGTGAGTGCGCTGGATCTTGTGTATTGTATTATTTGGCCCCCAGCAGCACCCCCATTTATGCATGTTAAGGTGAGTGCAGCCAACCCCCTCTTGTTTTTATATATATTTGGGAGTCTAGCCAACTCCTTGGTTTTGCACCCCTCCCTGTCACAGGTGCCTCATCCCAGGGCCCTATTTAGCCTTGTACTGCAGAGAGCCCCAGATGGAATTTTTTTCCTCAAGTAAGTGGTTAATCTCATAAGAGCAGACATTAGGCTGTTGGTGTAGGACCTGCCAAAGATGGGGTACATTGACGTTGTGGCAGGCTTATGCAATGTATGATCATATAATGTAACTAAACCCCATTATTTTTGCCTAGATTAGGTGTTTTTAAAAAAACAAATAAAATCTTTCAACATTGAAGTTGCTGTTTAGTGGATAGGTGAGTGCGCTGGATCTTGTGTTTTGTATTATTTGGCCCCAGCAGCACCCCCATTTATGCATGTTCAGGTGAGTGCAGCCAACCCCCCCTTGTTTCATATGTATATATTTGGGAGTCTAGCCAACTCCTTGGTTTTGCACCCCTCCCTGTCACAGGTGCCTCATCCCAGGGCCCTATTTAGCCTTGTACTGCAGAGAGTCCCAGATGGAATTTCTTTCCCCAAGTAGGTTAATCTCATAAGAGCAGACATTAGGCTGTTGGTGTAGGACCTGCCAAAGATGGGGTACATTGACGTTGTGGCAGGCTTATGCACTGTATGATCATATAATGTAACTAAACCCCCATTATTTTTGCCTAGATTAGGTGTTTTTAAAAAAACAAATGAAGTCTTTCAGCATTGAAGTTGCTGTTTGGTAGATGGGTGAGTGCGCTGGATCTTGTATTATATATATATATATGTATATATATATACATATCAATAATTCTACATATATATTTATGTAATATTTTTACATAATTAGGTATCTTAATTAATTACAATTACTTAGGACCTGCCCTGACAACCCAGTGTTTTCAAAACAGTAAAATGTATTACAACGATGATATACGCCAGTAAAAAGTTAAGTTTTTGCATTTTTCACTTGCTAAACAGCACTTACCACAGTTTCAAATAATGTGTGCTGCGATACTTTTTACTGTTTTGAAACACAAATATTTGTGTTCAGCGAAGTCTCCCGAGTACAACAGTACCCCTCATGTACAGATTTTATGGTGTTTTCAAAAGTTACAGCGTCAAATATAAGGTTGGTGTTTCATTTTTTTCACGTTAAAATTTGCCAGATTGGTTAGGTTGCCTTTGAGACCCTATGGTAGCCCAAGAATGAAAATTACCCCTATGATGGCATACCATTTGCAATAGTAGACAACCCAAGGTATTGCAAACAGGGTATGTCCAGTCTTTTTTAGTAGCCACTTAGTCACAAACACTGGC